CAATACATTAATTGCACTGTAATGGTGCCAAAAGGTGCCCACAAACTGTTAGGGCCTACATAAAGCTGTCCCAAAACCTTACCACCTCTACACCTGGCTATCAGCGGAGCCTTGTCTGGCAGCGTAACAGTTAATTCAGCCTCATTTACTGCCTTTAAAAAAAACATAGCTGATATGGCTGACTTGCTTAAACAAATGTGGTTTCTACTGACAATTGAGATGTACAAACTATGGCATAAGGGGATGACAAGCGGATAAGAGGCAATCCATAATTTCGATGAAGACATTAATGAGCGAGCTAGGACGGAAGTAGTCAATATAACTATTTATTCAGCACTTTTGAAATGTACAGCGACAAAATTCAGAATATGGGCTGTTCTTACAGTATTCTCCCTGTACACCAAGTCAGAAACGAAGGATAAATAAAGGGGGCACATAAGCAGACAACGAAAGCTCTTACAATATTCAATGATGTCATTTCTCTTAAATAGGCTATAGGCTACATGTGCACCACCAAGTCAGAACAGTAGGCTAAATTATGAGTGGAAAAGGGACCAAATTATTAGGGTGCGGCACATGGGCTATTAACAGCTTACTACACAACATACACTTAGTATTACTTTCTTAGCTACAGTATACATATCTCCCTGGCATATTACATCATTTACGCAGCAGCATACAATACATTTTTGGACTCACCTTGTTGTGCTCTGCTCACATGAACAGGATGGTGGCGTGGTGGTTCTTCGTGGGTAAATTTTGTCATCAAACTTTGTCATCAAAGTCTGTCATTCTCTGGATTTATGGTGCTTTCAAGACAACTGGGAACTCTGAAAAAAAACAAGGTCCAATCATGATGTTAGTGATCTTCAGGTCGGAGCTCTAGAAAGATGACCGTTCAAAACGTATTTTCCCAGTCCGAGCTCGTTTTATTCAGAGTTCCCAGTTGTCTTGAACTCACTGAAGTCTGAGATTTCCCAGTTACGAGTTTCCAGTTGTTTTGAATGCAGCAGAAGTCATGCTGGAATGACAGCATGGCCAATGTTGAATGTTAATGAGGTCCTGAATCCTTTTAAGCTTGGAAAAGAGACCTTTAAACCCAGGCTTGGACCACACATCCACGTAATTGCAGTCTAGTGATTGCTTTGCAATGCTTGCAGTTAGCCACTGATTCCTTCCAAATTTGCGATTTCCAACTTACATTTTACATTTTAGTCATTTAGCAGACGCTCTTATCCAGAGCGACTTACAGGAGCAATTAGGGTTAAGTGCCTTGCTTAAGGGCACATCGACAGATTTTTCACCTAGTCGGCTCGGGGATTAGAACCAGCGACCTTTCGGTTACTGGCACAACGCTCTTACCCACTAAGCTACCTGCCGCCCTTGTTGTGTAATGATTATGTCCAATGGCCGATGAGCACCGATACGTTTTATCAATAATTTATCTTCATATGACAAGGATTGAAAAGGATTTGCCAGTCGTGTGATGATGACTGCTAGGTTGCTAGCTAATATTTTGAAAGTATGGTGTTGACATGAGCAGTCCAATCAAAACTACTGTAGATATAATGTGATTTGACATCATTTTATCTGTGGCCAATGACCTTGAGCCTTCTTGGATGGGCACTTCTAATGTAACTCTATGGCAGCACCCAAGGGGCTTGAATTTTCTAACTCACCCCGCAGATTTTGCAGTGACGTAGTGTCCCCATGAGTGACAGAACACTGAGCCAATCACGGTGCAACTAGAGAACATTACAAACCCCTACGCTCCGTATTTTCCGCTGGCTGCTCCACCACAACAAAAAGCACTGAGCTAGGCTGAAACACCTGCATTTTGGAGCTGCCTTATTCAAGAAAGAGAAAAAGAGACTATATTTGTATGCGGCTTAATTAAGTCAATTATTATTTTTTTGGGGGATTGCTTGCAAACTGATATGTGACACGTATTAATGCCAAAATAACATGCAAAACAGGCATTAAAAATAACATGCCTCACCTGCCCTGAATGGCGTGTCGCTACTGGTCCTCTATCCTCCTGAGACCCAGCCATTCATTTTTGTCCTCTCTAATGGACATTTGTTTTTGGAAAGTGTTCAGACCCCTTGACATTTTCCACATTATGTTATGTTACAGCCTTATTCTAAAATGGATTGAATACGTTTTTTTCCTCATCAATCTACACACAATACGCCATAACGACAAAGCGAAAACAGTTTTTGTTGAAAATGTATTAAAAATAAAAAAAACAGAAAAACATTACTTACTAGTATTCAAAACCTTTGCTATGATACTCGAAATTGAGCTCAGGTGCATCCTGTTTCCATTGATCATCCGTTAGATGTTTCTATAACTTGATTGGAGTCCACCTGTGGTAAATTCAATTCATTGGACATTATTTGGAAAGGCACACACCTGTCTATATAAGGTCCCACAGTTGACAGTGAATATCAGAGCAAAAACCAAGCCATGAGGTTGAAAGAATTGTCCATAGAGCTCCGAGACTGGATTGTGTCGAGGCACAGATCTGGGGAAGGATACCAAAACATTTCTGCTGCATTGAAGGTCCCCAAGAACACAGTGGCCTTCATCGTTCTTAAATGGAAGAAGTTTGTAACCACGAAGACTCTTCCTAGAGCTGAGCAATCAGAGGAGAAGGGCCTTGGTCAGGGATGTGACCAAGAACCCGATGGTCATTCTGACAGAGCTCCAGAGTTCCTCTGTGGAGATGGGAGAACCTTCCAGAAGGACAACCATCTCTACAGCACTCCACTAATCAGGCCTTTATGGTAGAGTGGCCAGACGGAAGCCACTCCTCAGTAAAAGGCACATGACAGCCCACTTGGAGTTTGCCAAAAGGTACCTAAAGGACTCTCAGACCATGAGAAACAAGATTCTCTGGTCTGATGAAACCAAGATTGAACTCTTTGGCCTGAATGCCAAGCGTCACGTCTGGAGGAAACCTGGCACCATCCCTACGGTGAAGCATGGTGGTGGCAGCATCATGCTGTGGGGATGTTTTTCAGTGGCAGGGACTGGGAGACTAGTCAGGATCGAGGGAAAGATGAATGGAGCAAAGTACAGAGAGATCCTTGATGGAAACCTGCTCCAGAGCTCAGGACCTCAGACTGGGGGGAAGGCTCACCTTCAAACAGGACAGCGACCCTAAGCACACATCCAAGAGAATGAAGGAGTGGCTTTGGGACAAGTCTCTGAACGTCCTTCAGTAGCCCAGCCAGAGCCCGGACTTGAACCCGATCAAACATCTCTGGAGAGACCTGAAAATAGCTGTGCAGCAACGCTCCCCATCCAACCGGACAGAGCTTGAGAGGATCTGCAGAGAAGAATGGGAGAAACTCCACAAATACAGGTGTGCCAAGCTTGTAGTGTCATACCCAAGACAACTTGAGGCTGTAATCGCTGCCAAAGGTGCTTCAACAAAGTACTGAGTAAAAGGTCTGAATACTTATGTAAATGTGATATATGTTGATTTTTTAAAATAAATTGGCTAAAATTTCCAAAACCCCATTTTTGCTTTGTTATTATGGTGCGTTGTTTGTAGATTTATGAGGAAAAAAACTATTTAATCCATTTTAGAATAAGGCTGTTACATAATAAAATGTGGAAAAAGTCAAGGGGTCTGAATACTTTCCACTGTGTTGGTCCTGTTGTGCCTTTGAGAGGACATTCTGGGGGGGGTTTCTTTCTGGTCCTTCAAAATGGCTACCATCACAATTACCAAGAATTAGCTAATGTTGTGGTAAGTGTGTGTAATTCTGTAATTATAATTTTTGTGAGTTTGATATTGAAATTGTTTCATATCTCAGGAACAGTTTGTTGAGTTTTCAGAGCAGTGTAGTCATTTTTTTGACATTAAATAAGAGCTTGTTAATACATGTCCTCTGTAGTGGACATCAGGATGCGGCCAACTATGTTTTTTACCTACTGTCCCCATTTACTGTAATGTTAAATGTATCATATTTACTACCAACCAAGTCCTAATGGCCACTACAGTGACATGTTTTTTTTTCTTCACCCCAAACACAATATCAAAACCTTTTTTTTTGCTGGATCTCAGGAGGCTATAGATCTCCATCTGGGTCATGATTGGCTGCCAAACTCTCTGCCCCACAGCTGACACACACACACACACACACAATTGAGAGCACAAAAATAACTGCTGCTGTTATTGTTGTTGGCTTTCTGTCGTGATTTGTCTGAGATCAACAGTTAGGGCAGAAAGAAACAAACTGAGGGCAGAAAGTCAAAAGGTTATGAACCAACATCCTATATCTCTCAACAGCAGTGAAAATAGGTTGGTGGAGGACAATGTTCCTCTACCCATCACTTTTAGTCTTCTCTCTCTTTTCTTTCTCCTCCCTCCTACTCTGTCTCTCCCTCCACCTCCCTCCCATTCTCTCACTCCTCTCCTGCCAACCTCTCTCTCACTCCTTTCCCTCCCTCCCTCACTCCTCTCCCCCACCTTCCTCTCTCTCCCTGATTTCCCCCCTCTCACTACTTCCCATCCCACTTTCTCACTCCTCTCCCGCCACCATCCTCTCTCTCACTCGTTTCCCTCCCTCTCTCACTCCTTTCCATCCCTCTCTCTCACTCCCTCACCCCCACCTCCTCTCTCTCTCGACTCTCTCCCGACACCCTCCTCTATCATCACCTCCTCTTCTCCCTCTCCGCTCCCCTCCTCTCTCTCTCTCCCTCCTCTCTCCACCTCCTCACTCTCTCCCTCCTCTCCCCCACTCGTTTTCCCTCACTCTCTCACTCATTTCACTCACTCTCTCACACCCTCTCTCTCTCACTCCTCTACCCCCACCTCCCTCTATCCTTCTCCTTCCATTATCCATCTCTGCCCCCCCCCCCCCCCACCCCCCTCTCTCCCATCTGTACAGTGGGTGATATTTATATAATCTAGGTCCCAGTGCCACATGGGAGAATGGTTCCATATCCAGGTCAGAACTCACTATAGCCCCAATACTCTCTACAGCCCACTCTACTCTATTCCTCTCTACTCTGTTCCATTCTGCTCTGTTCCACTCTGCTCTGTTCCACTCTACTCTGTTCCACTCTGCTCTGTTCCACTCTACTCTGCCTGCCAGGAGGAGAGGCAGAGCTGGATGCAGGTAAGCTGCTCCACTTTAGCTCCTTTTGTGAACGGTGAATATGTTGTACTGTACAGTACTTTTCAATGTGGAAATTAATTACACTTAGGAAACTATTATGTAGGCTGACAGCAATTTCTTAATTGATTGATTCGCTAATAGTGTAATTGATAGGCTAGCAGCTAATCAGTCAGCCAGGGTGCCTCTCTTTTTCTAACCACGGGTCCAGAACATTGTACATTAGCGTAGTACAGTTCATGTCTTCTTCAGTCACCACTGGCTTTGTAGCAATATGGCTAAGAGTCTGGACAGCAGGTTTCTCTGTATGAGCATCAATAGCCAAACAGGACAGACCTCAAACAGACTGACTGGCACCCTGGCCACCTTCGGGGTATTAATGGTTCATTATTATTATTAGCACAATGGATTCCCTCACTTGTCCCTGTAGTGTGTGTTAAATGGAGAGGGTTAAATTCATTATCACCAGCCTCTCTGTGATAGGCTACTCCCCCTCCCTCTCTCACTGGCTGGGATGTAAATGTTTACACCAAGGTAGTTTACACAGGATTACAGTGCGATAATCCACTTTAAGTATTTAGTGACATGCGCCGCCATCTGTCCTCTGCTAGCATGCTGAGAACACAGGTTTATGCCAGCCAAAGTCCTTCTCAACGACATTTCTATGGGATGGAGAATATACCCTGAATATGATATGAGAGCGTTCTTTCGTGCACGCGTACTTTCACTTTGATCGGGTCTCTGCTGGCGCGCCAGGTGCTCATTGAAGGGAGCGAGCGCTGTTGGCGCAAGGTGTGGCGAGTGGACAAATTTGGCCTTTCTACAATGAACCGAGGACAATTCAATCAGCGTTTGTAAAGCCGCGGACGAAGGGATAATACTGGTGATTATAAATGCTGTTAAACTTAAATAGCGACATGAATCAACTTGACCTGATTTTGAATGCGTTGTAGTTGTCTTTCAGCTTTGCAAACAGGTGTGATGGTGTCACGAACTTCCCAATAGGCCTATACCATTGTATTGTTGGAAATAAGATTGAATTTAACTGGAGCCTACTGTACGCTAAGTAGGCCTAAATGTCGTTATATTGTTATTTTACACGCTTTATGTTATAATTAGGTAATTCCATTTGATTTTAGCCACTTTTTCACCGCACCACTTTTGATTTAAACAAAACTTAATACATTATTTGCCCATGGTAGAAGTGGTCAGAAAGTGATTTTTTGGGGACCTGAATGCCAAAACATTCAGGAGATAGAGGTACTCAAAGTTGACCCATTTTGCATATTCCACCATACCATGAGACGTCCACGTCTTCATCACTGGAAAAAAATGAATAATGTTTTAAAAGCTTAAAAACATGGTTATCAAACAATTGAATAACTCCTTGAAAGGTTTTTTAATAAATATTGTCATTTATTTTACCTTTTTAATGTGAATTCTCAAATGCATAAACTCAGATTTTGTATTTTCAAATGTTGTAGTTTAAACCCTAATTTACATCATCTGAGGTAGCCAGAATAGATTGTGAGCCTATGCTTGCTTACAGCTGCACTGGGGTCAGACAGCCTTCCTGTTTAGTTTAAGAGACCATGTAGCCAGTGCGAGATATGGCTTGGAAAACGTACCTCAATCCAGGGATGAAAAATGCATTGTACTGCGAATGGTCCCATTATCCCAACTGTTACACGAGAAGATTGAACAAGTGCTAGTTAAGTAAACTAACATTTTAGTCCGAATACTAGCTAGCAGTAGCCACAGCAGCCATTTTGGAATGGCACATGGTGTTGAACAACAAAGGAGCTGATTGGCTGACACTGCCATTCCAAAATGGCTGCTGTGGCTTCTGCTACCCAGCATGAGGACGAAAAGGGCAGTTTTCCTGAAACTAGCAGTCGTTCAATATTCTCAGTGTAACAGTTGAGTTCATGGGACAATTCGGAGTAGAAAGCATTTCTCATCCCTGGATTGAGGTACGTTTTCCAAGTCATATCCCGCGCCGGCTCCGGTGTCTTAATCTAAACATGACGTCTGTCTGACCCCATTGCAGCTGTAAGAAAGCGTAGGGTCAGAATCTATTTTGGCTACCTCTGAGGTGTATGTGATGTGCCCACCATCATTTGAGATACAGCATACTCTTGAATACTGGGTGGGTGTCATTTCAATCATAGAAATATAATTAATAGAATGAACCTATCCCTTCAGACCACTACAATTTAGCTGGTACACCATTGACATTTAAATTAAATAGAGATTTTTACTTCCAATAACTACCACAAAGATATCCGCCGGTCCACCCACTGTCGAATGTCAGCTTAAAGGCCCCCACCAGAGGGCAATGCCACCCCTATTTCGACGTAATTCCTGTCCTAGAGCGGAAATTCTAGTTGCTACAGCAATACCAAGTCAGCTCATGCCATGGTTCTCACAGAAGAAGTAAAATGATAGATAGTCTACAATGACTTTGCTCATGATGCACGCCGCAAATTACATGTAACAACACCCTGAGCACATCGGAAACTAAATGAAACACCGATACAAATGTAACAGCAGCACGAAATAGATAAGTGGGAAAAAAATTTGCGGGTGCCATTTCATTATAGGATAGACACTTGTGGTTTTTAGCTGCACCAATAAAAGCAGTGGAGTGTGGTCCAAACCATTCATCTTGGGGCGAGCGGGGTTCCAAAATCATATCACACTCAATTTGACCATTTATAAAATGGACACATTTTTTAAATACATAATAGCTACACATTTTGAAACTTGACAAATTATCCAATGGATTATTTTTGCACCTCCTATTTTAATTTGCTCCATGCTCCAAGTGTAGGCTACAGCAAAAAGCTGTTTGGCTCAGCTCAGTCGCGACTCGCAAAGAGGAAGAAGACTGAAAAGTATTAGCACGTCATCTCATAGGGGAAACACACGGCATAGACACTGAAAATATCTGAAGTGACCATTTCGGATTTCCCAATTCAAGCTGAAATATATTATACTTTGACTAAGATGAGAGGGACTTCACACATTCACCACAAAATTCTCTAACCACGAGTCAGGAAAATAGCACACGCACCTGTTGCCACAGACTGTCATGTTTTATATGCAAATACTCTGATCAACTCTTTTGCAGATCTTTTAACACCTTTTATACATCACACGTCTCTTTTACAGTCTGTTCCTCTCTTTTTCCTCGATCATTTCCTACTCCTGTTCTAATAGCTCCTCTAGTGGTTATGATAGGGCATGACAGGTTGAAGAAGCCAAATGTATCTATTTTCAATATTCTGCAGAGTAGGCAAAATTACCTGCTTTATGAACCAACCTTCAGAACTTGGCAGATGGGAAATATAGATCTGTTTTTTCTGTTTATAGGTTTTTGTTCATTGATTTATTGATGGCTTATTGACTTCAATCGTTGTGTGACATCATGGATAAGCTATGGGCACTGTCTTTCAAAACAATGTTTCCTATGGAGGATTGACAGTGTAATTTAAAACTGATATTCCCATTCAAGTCAACATTCTCTGTGTGGACCTCCAACCATCTTTGTGGTACCATTTGAAAGTAGAAACTTCAATTTTATTTCCATTTCAATACATTCATCAGCCATAACATGACACCCACCCTGTATTCAAGAGCATTTTGTCTCAACCGATGGCCGGCACAACACAAACACCTCAGATTATGTAAAATAGGGTCTAAACTACAACCTATGTGAAAATAACAAATATTTAATGTTAAAGGCAAAAAAAAATACATTTTTTATTATTAAGAATTTGATAAACCTACTTGTGAGCTTTTAAATGATATCAAACTCAACCATTTGTCTTTTCAAGTGAGGAAGAAATGGATGTCTCATGGTATGGTGGGGCATGCATAACGGGTCAACTTTGGACACCTCTATCTCCTGAATGTTTTGGCATTCAGGTCCAGAAAGTCACTTTCTGACCACTTCTACCATGGGCAAATACACTATATATACAAAAGTATGTGGACACCCCTTCAAATTAGTGGATTCGGCTATTTCAGCCACACCCGTTGCTGACAGGTGTATAAAACCGAGCACACAGCCATGCAATCTCGATAGACAAACATTGGCAGTAGAATGGCCTTACTGAAGAGCTCAGTGACTTTCAATGTGGCACCATCATAGGATGCCACCTTTCCAACAAGTCAGTTTGTCAATTTCTGCCCTGCTAGAGCTGCCCCGGTCTGTAAGTGCTGTTATTGTGAAGTGGAAACGTCTAGGAGCAACACTGGCTCAGCCGCAAAGTGGTTGGCCACACAAACTCACAGAACGGGACCACTGAGTGCTGAAGCACGTAAAGATTGTCTGTCCTCTGCAACACTCACTACCAAGTTCCAAACTACCTCTGGAAGCAACGTCGGCACAAAAACTGTTTGTCGGGAGCTTCATGAAATGGGTTTCCATGGCTGAGCAGCCGCACACAAGCCTAAGATCACCATGCGCAATGCCAAGTGTCGGCTGGAGTGGTGTAAAGCTCGCCGCCATTGGACTCTGGAGCAGTGGAAAAGTTCTCTGGAGTGATGAATCATGCTTCACTATCTGGCAGTCCCACGGACAAATCTGGGTTTGGCGGATGCCAGGAGAACACCACCTGCCCCAATGCATAGTCCAACTTTAAAGTTTGGAGGAGGAATAATGGTCTGGGGCTGTTTTTCATGGTTCGGGCTAGGCCCCTTAGTTCCAATGAAGGGAAATCTTAATGTTACAGCATACAATGATATTCTAGACAATTCTGTGCTGCAACAGTTTGAGGAAGGCCCTTTCCTGTTTCAGCATGACAATGCCCCCGTTCACAAAGCGGGGTCCATACAGAAATGGTTTGTCAATCGGTGTGGAAGAACTTGACTAGCCTGCACAGAGCCCTGACCTCAACCCCATCGAACACCTTTGGGATGAATTCGAACGCTGACTGCGAGTGCCCAACCTCACTAACTCTCTTGTGGCTGAATGGAAGTAAGTCCCCGCAGCAATGTTCCAACATCTAGTGGAAAGGCTTCCCAGAAGAGTGGAGGCTGTAATAGCAGCAAAGGGGGGACCAACTCCATATTAATGCCCATGATTTTAGAATGAGATGTTTGATGAGCAGGTCCACATACTTTTGGTCATGTAGTGTATGTATGGAAAGTTTCGTTCAAATCAGAAGGGGTACGGTCAAAAAGGGATTGTAAACAAATGGAATGACCCAATTGTTAGTAGGTAGGTAACCTCGTCCCCAGGCTAATTGCGCATGGCCGGAAGTGTCTGGTGAACAAGGTTATTAGGTAGTTGGAAGTAGGTTATGTAAAATATAAAAACAACCAAAATGACAATTTGATATGAAATACAGATGTAGCTTCTGCAACCACGCCAAAAGCACCAGTGCCATTCCATGACTGTAATTTTCTCTAGCTTGTTAGCTGACTCCTGTCTCTCGTCTAGTGTGTTTCTCTGTAGACAGTGGAGTTTTAAAGCCTAACTGGATTGGAAACCGAGGTACCCTCTAAACCTGTCTAATCAGGGTTACATGCTGACTTGACTCTCCTTCATTGAGCTCCATACCGCTCCTCCAGCCCCAGATGATGCGGACGGACAATAAAGGCCGAAGCGCCTCCCCCCACAGGAATGCTTACAAGTCTGACTTTCACACCATCAAATGCTCCTTGGACACCACGACCAGGCCTAGACCTTCTTCCCTGGGCGCCTCTATCCCTTCACCTGGCCCCATGGCAGTCCCTCACACCAGGACTAGCAGTGGGAGTGACCCTGGTGAGGGTACCAGGGGTAGGGCCCTCAGCCCTAGAGGAACTAAGATCAAAGACAACATCTTCCTCCAGATGGACAGCCAACAGCACCTCCTCCACCCCTTATCTCAGGCCTTGCCCAAACACCCTCTCAGCTCCAGCTCTGTCCGGAGCAGTGTGGCCAGCATGTCCAGCTTAGAATCGTCTATGCTAGATAAACCGTCTAAGGCAGAGGAGTTAGCAGAGATAGATAGAGCTGCTCTAGCCCAGAAATTCTCGGTGACCCGGAAGCTCTTTGAGACGGTCAGTGGGGGTCAACGTATAAAGGTCAGCCCTGGCAGAGAGAGCAGGGGTTCGGTGGAAGAGAGTGGGGAGGAAAGGGGGCAGCTGACATCCATGTCAGAAAGCGAAGGAAAGGGTGAGAGAAGGAGAGTGCGAGAGGAAAGAGAACTCATGAACATTTCTCTACCCAACATAGCACTCCATACACCCACTTCCTCACTAGACACCAGCTTGCCTACACCCCTTCACCCTGTTAATGGTCACTCCAGTGAGACATTTTCCCCTGATGGTTCAAGTCCTACAACTGACCCCTCAGACAGCGGGAGTGTGTGCGAAAGAAGTGTTTTAGATGGGAGTGTGTGTGAGGACTTTGTGGTCTTCCATGTATCCAACCCTTGTAGCCCAGCAACCAGCTCCCCCCACTCTCAGCCTCCATCCCCTTCTTACAACTCCCCTAGTCCTCTCACTCCAGTCTCCCCCTGTTCTGACCAGACTGACCTTTATAGCTTTAGTAGTCCTAATGCTGACCCCCTGGACAACAGGAACCACCCTAATGACCTTTACATGACCCCTGGTGTCCCTTTGACCCCCAAAGAGGGGTCAGGGGCTGGGACTGTAAGGGCGGAACTAGTGGAGGTGAAGAACGAGTCGTCTGAGAGCGAAGGTAACGAAGGAGAGGAAGAGGACACCATAAAGGAAGAGACTATGAAGGAAGAGGAGGAAAGCACAAGGGGGGACGGCAATGAGAATAACCTGGTGGATGAGCTGTTTGAAGAATCCAGAGTGGAACCTCGAATGGTTGAACCTACATCGGAACAAAGAACAGTAGAACCTAGAATGGTGGAACAGAGAATGGTTGAACCTCCAGTAGAACCCAGAATGGTAGTGTGTGTGGAGGGATTCCCTGACAGTCCTGAGGTGACAGAACAGGAAAATGAATCAGAAAGAGACATGAACCAGCAGGTGACAGAACAGAGGGAGAGGCGAATGGAGGGAGAAAACAGACTGATCAGCCAAGAAATAGAGCAGTACAGAGAAGAGGGGACAACTGGAGACGGTGAGAGAGAGAAAGTGGAGGTAGGGACGGAAGAAGGAGATGAGGCAGGAGAGCAGGAGGAGGAAAAGAAAGTTGAAGAGAGAGAAAGAATGTGCAGTGACAGCAAAGAAGAGAAGAGGGAGGTGAGAGAGGGAGAGGAGGAAGCGAAAGAGAAGGCCGGATTGGTGGATGGAGGGATCGACTTCAGGGAAAAGGAGGAAGGAGCCAGAGAGGAAGAGAAGAGGAAGTGCAGAGGGAGAGTGGAAGGGAAGGAAGGGCAGGAGAGGGAAGAGAGGGAAGAGAGGGAAGAGAGGGAAGAGAGGGAGTGCACCGAGAGAGGAGATGAGAAGAATGGATCTGCTGTCGTCCTTGGGATTGAGAATGAGGCCTTCGTGAAAGACTGGGAACGAGATTCAGAGTGTCATGACGATTTGGAATGGCACAGAGAGGGCTGGGAGCAGCTCTCTATGGAATATGAGGAGATTCCCGGTCTTCCCCATGAGGATGATGATGATTCTGCTAAGAGGAGGAATATCAAATTCTCTACAGCACCAATGAAGGTAAACCCCCCCCACCCACCCACCCAATCGCATTCACCCCATTAGGTTTGATAAATTGGTACCATATTTTGATTGAGAGAGTAAGTCTGGCCCAGTCCCATAGTTGGGGTAAGATGAAAACCATGGCTAGAACAGATGAAGAGTGAAGGGCTTATGAATAGATGGACAATATGAACCTACAGCCAGTATAATTCTATCCCATTAGGTTGAGAGGAGACAGAGGCAATATCTCACTGTGATATATCAACAGCAGAGCATTCCTCCCCTAGGACAAGTGTTCGCTCCCATGTGTAACCATACTGCAAGTGAGGTTATTTTAGGGCCACATAATGAATGTTTTTGTCCAGTAAGGATTTTAAATCTTCCAGACATCTCAGGCCCTGTGTGGCTGCCAAGTATACTGAGAGCCTTACTGGGTACGGCACAGTTGGCACACATTTCACCGGGGGGGTGTTTAGGGTATAATTACTGTTCGAGGACCATTTTGTCTAAGATGTTCCCTGCCTCTGGGATTGAACTGCAGTAGAGTACATGGATTTGCAAAGCTTTGTGTGTTAAGACTATGCATCTGCTACAGCTTGTTTCCAATCCCATCTCACACCCCAGTCCTACTGGAGGATCTGACAACATAAACAGGATGGTCATGGTGTGCTAGCAATAACTCCAGATAGCAGTGGCTAGTCAGGATCCAGACAGCCAAAGACATGCATACATACACACACACACAACTTGACTATGAAAGATATAATGGTGTGTGTACACTCAGGTGTTCCTGACCTACTCAAATGCAGACTATGACAGGCGTAACGATGACATTGACCCTGTGTCTGCCTCTGCTGAGTATGAGCTGGAGAAGAGAGTGGACAAGATGGACGTCTTCCCTGTCCAGATAAAGAAAGGTTGCTCGCTCTCCTCTATTGCTCTCCTCTATCGCTCTCCACTCCTCTCTCGCTCTCCTCTATCGCTCTCCTCTATCGCTCTCCACTCCTCTCTCGCTCTCCTCTATCGCTCTCCTCTATCGCTCTCCTCTATCGCTCTCCTCTCTCGCTCTCGCTCTCCTCTCTCGCTCTCCTCTTCGCTCTCCTCTCTCGCTCTCCTCTCTCGCTCTCGCTCTCCTCTTCGCTCTCCTCTCTCGCTCTCCTCTCTCGCTCTCCTCTCTCGCTCTCCTCCTCTCTCTCTCCTCTATCGCTCTCCTCTATCGCTCTCCCACTGTTCTTTACCACTTCCTTTATATTCCTCTCTCCTTACCTCTCTACTGCTCTCTCACTCCCTTTACCAGCCTCTCTCTCTCTCTCTCGCTCTCTTTACTTCTCTGTTTTAACACCTTGTCTTTGTCTAACTCCCCCTCCTGTCTGTCTGTGTAGGAGAGGAGGGTCTGGGTATCAGTATAATAGGGATGGGGGTAGGGGCTGACCAGGGGCTGGAGAAGTTGGGGATCTTCGTTAAGACCATAACAGAGAATGGAGCTACACAACAGGACGGACGGTAAGAATCTGATCTAAAGTCAGTGATGCCTTTCTAATGGTTAGGATGTGAGTGTCGTGCTGTAAGCTGATCCTAAATATGTGTGTGTGTGTTAGTATTCAGGTGAATGACCAGATAGTGGAGGTGGATGGGGTCAGTCTGGTTGGAGTCACACAGCTGTTTGCTGCCACCGTGCTGAAGAACACAATTGGCACTGTCAGGTATGCACGCACAGGCAGGCACGTGCACACACTTTCTCTCTGCCGATTGGTTGTGTGACTTAACACAGGGTCCTGATTTGTCATTATCCCTCACTGCAGGTTTTTTATTGGACGGGAGAAGCAGGGGGAGGAGAGTGAGGTGGCTCGTCTAATCACTGAGAGTCTGGAGCAGGACAAGAGACCATCCACAGTAAAGGTAGGTAGGGGTGTGACTGTCCCTACAGTAGAGGTGTGACTGTCCCTACAGTAGAGGTGTAACTGTCCCTACAGTAGAGGTGTGACTGTCCCTACAGTAGAGGTGTGACTGTCCCTACAGTAGAGGTGTGACTGTCCCTACAGAAGAGGGAGGTAGGAGTGTGACTGTCCCTACAGTAGAGGGAGGTAGGAGTGTGACTGTCCCTACAGTAGATGTGTGACTCTCCCTACAGTAGAGGTGGGTAGGGGTGTGACTGTACCTACAGTAGAGGTAGGTAGAGGTGTGACTGTCCCTACAGTAGAGGTGTGACTATCCCTACAGTAAAGGTAGGTAAGGGTGTGACTGTACCTACAGTAGAGGTGTGACTATCCCTACAGTAGAGGTGTGACTGTCCCTACAGTAGAGGCATGTAAGGGTGTGACTGTCCCTAGAGTAGAGGTAGGTAGGGGTGTGACTGTACCTACAGAAGAGGTAGGTAGGGGTGTGACTGTACCTACAGTAGAGGGAGGTAGGGGTTTGACTGTACCTACAATAGAGGTGTGACTGTCCCTACAGTAGAGGTGGGTAGGGGTGTGACTGTCCCTACAGTTGAGGTGTGACTGTCCCTACAGTAGAGGTGTGACTGTCCCTACAGTAGAGGTGTGACTGTACCTACAGTAGAGGTAGGTAGGGGTGTGACTGTCCCTACAGTAGATGTGTGACTCTCCCTACAGTAGAGGTGGGTAGGGGTGTGACTGTACCTACAGTAGAGGTAGGTAGAGGTGTGACTGTCCCTACAGTAGAGGTGTGACTATCCCTACAGTAAAGGTAGGTAAGGGTGTGACTGTACCTACAGTAGAGGTGTGACTGTACCTACAGTAGAGGTGTGACTATCCCTACAGTAGAGGTGTGACTGTCCCTACAGTAGAGGCATGTAAGGGTGTGACTGTCCCTACAGTAGAGGTAGGTAGGGGTGTGACTGTACCTACAGTAGAGGTGTGACTGTACCTACAGAAGAGGTAGGTAGGGGTGTGACTGTACCTACAGTAGAGGTGTGACTGTACCTACAGAAGAGGTAGGTAGGGGTGTGACTGTACCTACAGTAGAGGGAGGTAGGGGTTTGACTGTACCTACAATAGAGGTGTGACTGTCCCTACAGTAGAGGTAGGTAGGGGTGTGACTGTCCCTACAGTAGAGGTGTGACTGTCCCTACAGTAGAGGTGTGACTGTCCCTACAGTAGAGGTGTGACTGTCCCTACAGTAGAGGTGTGACTGTCCCTACAGTAGAGGTGTGACTGTACCTACAGTAGAGGGAGGTAGGGGTGTGACTGTACCTACAGTAGAGGTGGGTAGGGGTGTGACTGTCCCTACAGTAGAGGTGGGTAGGGGTGTGACTGTACCTACAGTAGAGGTGTGACTGTACCTACAAGAGGTGAGACCCACTATAGGTGTGACTGTCCCTACAGTAGAGGGTGTGACTGTACCTACAGTAGAGGTAGGTAGGGGTTGACTGTACCTACATAGAGGATGGGGGTGACTGTCCCTACAGTAGAGGTGGGTAGGGGTGTGACTGTCCCTACAGTAGAGGTGTGACTGTACCTACAGTAGAGGTGTGACTGTACCTACAGTAGAGGTGTGACTGTACTTACAGTAGAGGTGGGTAGGGGTGTGACTGTACCTACAGTAGAGGTGTGACTGTACCTACAGTAGAGGTGTGACTGTACCTACAGTAGAGGTGTGACTGTACCTACTAAGTAGGTAGGGTGTGACTGTACCTACAGTAGATGGTGTGACTTCCCTACAGTAGAGGTGGTAGGGGTGTGACTGTACCTACAGTAGAGTGTACTGTTAAGTAGAGGTGTGACTGTACCTACAGTAGAGGTGTGACTGTACCTACAGTAAAGGTAGGTAGGGGTGTGACTGACCTACAGTAGAGGTGTGACTGTACCTACAGTAGAGGTGGCGCTACGAGGGTGTGACTGTACCTACAGTAGAGGTGTGACTGTACCTACAGTAGAGGTAGGTAGGGGTGTGACTGTACCTACAGTAGAGGTGTGACTGTACCTACAGTAGAGGTGGGTAGGGGTGTGACTGTACCTACAGTAGAGGTGTGACTGTACCTACAGTAAAGAGGTAGGTTGACTGTCCCTACAGTAGAGGTGACTGACTACAGTAGGGGTGTTGACTGTACCTACATAGAGTAGGTGTGACTGTCCCTACAGTAGAGGTGGGTAGGGGTGTGACTGTCCTACAGTAGAGGTGTGACTGTACCTACAGTAGAGGTGTGACTGTCCTACAGTAGAGTGTCGGGTGACTGTCCCTACAGTAGAGGTGTGACTGTCCCTACAGTAGAGGTAGGTAGGGGTGTGACTGTACCTACAGTAGAGGAGGTGGGTTACGTACCTCGTAGAGGGGTTGGTGACTGTCCCTACAGTAGAGGTGGGTAGGGGTGTGACTGTACCTACAGTAGAGGTGTGACTGTACCTACAGTAGCGGTGTGACTGTACCTACAGTAGAGGTGTGACTGTACCCTACAGTAGAGGGTAGGATGTAGTAGGGTGTGACTGTACCTACAGTAGAGGTGAGGTAGGGGTGTGACTGTACCTACAGTGAGGTGGGTTAGGGGGTGTGACTGTCCCTACAGTAGAGGTGGGTAGGGGTGTGACTGTACCTACAAAGTAGAGGTGTGACTGTCCTACAGTAGAGGTGTGACTGTCCTACAGTAGAGTGTGGTGACTGTACCTACAGTAGAGGTGTGACTGTACCTACAGTAAGGTGGTAGGTGGGGACTGTACCTACGTAGAGGTGGGTAGGGGTGTGACTGTACCTACAGTAGAGGGGTGGTGACTGTCCTACAGTGAGGGGTAGGGGGACTGTACCCTACAGTAGAGGTGGGTAGGGTGTGACTGTACCTACAGTAGAGGTGTGACTGTACATAAGTAGGGTGTGACTGTCCTACAGTAGAGGTGGGTGGGTGTGACTGTACTACAGTAGAGGGTGTGACTGTACCTACAGTAGAGGTGGGAGGGGTGTGACTGTACCTACAGTAGAGGGGGTAGGGTGTGACTGTCCTACAGTAGAGGTGTGACTGTACCTACAGTAGAGGTGTGAGTGCTACCTACAGTAGAGGTGGGTAGGGGTGTGACTGTACCTACAGTAGGGTGGTGACTGTACCTACAGTAGAGGAGGTAGGGTGTGACTGTCCTACAGTAGAGGTGTGACTGTCCCTACAGTAAAGGGGAGTGTGACTGTCCTACAGTAGAGTGGGTAGGGTGTGACTGTACCTACAGTAGAGGTGGGTAGGGGTGTGACTGTACCTACAGTAGAGGGTGTGACTGTACCTACAGTAGAGGTGTGGTGTCTATAGAGGTGTGACTGTACCTACAGTAGAGGTGGGTAGGGGTGGACTGTACCTACAGGTAGGGTGTGACTGTACCTACAGTAGAGGTGGGTAGGGGTGTGACTGTACCAGTAAGGTGTAGGGGTGTGACTGTACCTACAGTAGAGGGGTAGGGTTGACTGTCCCTACGTGAGGTGGTAGGGGGTACTGTCACGTACAGTAGAGGTGGGTAGGGGTGTGACTGTACCTACAGTAGAGGGGTAGGGTGTGACTGTCCTACAGTAGAGGGTAGGGTGACTGTTGAGGTGTGACTGTCCCTACAGTAGAGGTGGGTAGGGGTGTGACTGTACCTACAGTAGAGGTGGTAGGGGTGTGACTGTACCTACAGTAGAGGTGGGTAGGGGTGTGACTGTACCTACAGTAGAGGTGGGTAGGGGTGTGACTGTACCTACAGTAGAGGTGGTGACTGTCCCTACAGTAGAGGTGGGGTGTGATGTGTGGTGTGACTATCCCTACAGTAGAGGTGGGTAGGGGTGTGACTGTACCTACAGTAGAGGTGGGTAGGGGTGTGACTGTACCTACAGTAGAGGGAGGTAGGGGTGTGACTGTCCCTACAGTAGAGGTGTGACTGTCCCTACAGTAGAGGTGGGTAGGGGTGTGACTGTACCTACAGTAGAGGTGGGTAGGGGTGTGACTGTACCTACAGTAGAGGTGGGTAGGGGTGTGACTGTACCTACAGTAGAGGGAGGTAGGGGTGTGTCACTGATTACTCCTACAGTAGAGGTGGGTAGGGTGTGACTGTACCTACAGTAGAGGTGTGACTGTACTACAGTAGAGGGTAGTGTGACTGTACCTACAGTAGAGGTGGTAGGGGTGTGACTGTACCTACAGTAGAGTGGGTAGGGGTGTTGTTACTGGTACTATCCACGTAGAGGGAGGTAGGGGTGTGACTGTCCTACAGTAGAGGTGGTGGGTGTGACTGTCCCTACAGTAGAGGTGGGTAGGTTCCCGTGTGTGGGGTGACTGTCCTACAGTAGAGGTGGGTAGGGGTGTGACTGTACCTACAGTAGAGGGAGGTGGGGTAGTTGTAGTGTGACGTACCTACAGTAGAGGGGGTAGGGGTGTGACTGTACCTACAGTAGAGGTGGGTAGGGGTGTGACTGTACCTACAGTAGAGGTGTGACTGTACCTACAGTAGAGGTGGGTAGGGGTGTGACTGTACCTACAGTAGAGGTGGGTAGGGGTGTGACTGTACCTACAGTAGAGGTGGGTAGGGGTGTGACTGTACCTACAGTAGAGGTGGGTAGGGGTGTGACTGTACCTACAGTAGAGGGAGGTAGGGGTGTGACTGTCCCTACAGTAGAGGTGTGACTATCCCTACAGTAGAGGGAGGTAGGGGTGTGACTGTACCTACAGTAGAGGTGGGTAGGGGTGTGACTGTACCTACAGTAGAGGTGGGTAGGGGTGTGACTGTACCTACAGTAGAGGTGGGTAGGGGTGTGACTGTACCTACAGTAGAGGTGGGTAGGGGTGTGACTGTCCCTACAGTAGAGGTGGGTAGGGGTGTGACTGTCCCTACAGTATGGGTAGGGTGTGACTGTCTACAGTAGAGGGGGTAGGGGTGTGACTGTACCTACAGTAGAGGTGGGGGTTAAGGGGGTGTGACTGTACCTACAGTAGAGGGAGGTAGGGGTGTGACTGTACCTACAGTAGAGGTGGGTAGGGGTGTGACTGTCCCTACAGTAGAGGTGGGTAGGTGGGGTTGTGTGTGACTGTACCTACAGTAGAGGTGTGAGTCTAGGTGGATATCCCTACAGTAGAGGTGTGAGGCTAAGTGGGTGTGTGTGACTGTCCTACATACGAGTAGAGGGTGACGTCTAGGGAGGTTGGTGACTGTACCTACAGTAGAGGTGGGTAGGGGTGTGACTGTACCTACAGTAGAGGTGGGTAGGGGTGTGACTGTACTACAGTAGAGGTGACTGTACTGGGGTGACGCCCTGTGGACTGCTACAGTAGAGGTGGGTAGGGGTGGGACTGTCCCCACAGTAGAGGTGTGACTGTACCCTACAGTAGAGGTGGGTAGGGGTGTGACTGTACCTACAGTTAGAGGTGGGTTACGTAGGGGTGTGACTGTACACTACAGTAGAGTGGGTAGGGGTGGATGCCTACAGTAGGGGTGGGGGTGACTCGTAATCCCCACAGTAGAGGTGGGTAGGGGTGTGACTGTACCTACAGTAGAGGTGGTGTACAGTGGGTGTAGTGTGACTGTACCTACAGTAGAGTTGTGAGTGGGAGGGGTGACTGTCCCTACAGTAGAGGTGGGTAGGGGTGTGACTGTACCTACAGTAGAGGTGGGTAGGGGTGTGACTGTTGTGACTCCTACAGTAGAGGTGGGTAGGGGTGTGACTGTCCCTACAGTAGAGGTGGGTAGGGGTGTGACTGTACCTACAGTAGAGGTGGGTAGGGGTGTGACTGTACCTACAGTAGAGGTGGGTAGGGGTGTGACTGTACCTACAGTAGAGGGAGTAGGGGAGTTAGTGAGGTGTGACTGTACCTACAGTAGAGGTGGGTAGGGGTGTGACTGTACCTACAGTAGAGGTGGGGGGGTGAGTAGGGGGTAGGGGTGTGACTGTACCTACAGTAGAGGGGGTAGGGGTGTGACTGTCCCTACAGTAAGGGGAGGTGTGACTGTACCTACAGTAGAGGTGGGTAGGGGTGTGACTGTCCCTACAGTAGAGGTGGTAGGGGTGATGTACCCTACAGTAGAGGTGGGTAGGGTGTGACTGTACCTACAGTAGAGGTGGGTAGGGGTGTGACTGTACCTACAGTAGAGGTGGGTAGGGGTGTGACTGTCCCTACAGTAGAGGTGTGACTGTACCTACAGTAGAGGGGGTAGGGGTGTGACTGTACCTACAGTAGAGGTGGGTAGGGGTGTGACTGTACCTACAGTAGAGGGAGGTAGGGGTGTGACTGTACCTACAGTAGAGGTGGGTAGGGGTGTGACTGTAGTACAGTAGAGTGGGTAGGGGTGTGACTGTCCCTACAGTAGAGGTGGGTAGGGGTGTACTGTACTCATAGGTGGTAGGGGATGTCTCGTGAGGGGTAGGGGTGTGACTGTACCTACAGTAGAGGTGGTAGGGGTGTGACTGTCCCTACAGTAGAGGTGGCTGTCCTAAATAGTGGTAGGGTGTGACTGTCCCTACAGTAGAGGTGGGTAGGGGTGTGACTGTCACCTACAGTAGAGGTGGGTAGTGTGGACTGTACCTACAGTAGAGGTGGGTAGGGGTGTGACTGTACCTACAGTAGATGGGTAGGTGACTGTCCTACAGTAAGGAGTGGGTGTAGTCTTACAGTGAGTTGTGACTATCCTACGTAGATTGGGGTGTCTGACTACTAGAGTTAGGAGGGATTTACAGTAGGGAGTATGTGACTGAAACCTATAGAGTGGTAGGTTCTGCTACATGAGGTGGTACGGGGTGTGGTGTCCTACAGTGATGGTGGTGTGAAGTGTAGGTGGTAGGTTTGTGCTGACTCAGTGGGGGAGGATGTGATGTCCCTACAGTAGAGGTTGATCTTCACCATGACAGTAAGGTGTTGGGCGTGTATGTACTAATAATGGGGGGGGTGCTCTAGTGTAGACGTACACTGTTACCCCTCAGTAGGCTTCTAGTATCTGTAGATGGGTAGATCTGGAGATGTGGTGTTTTCATGTGTGTATTGGTCTCTCCTTAGCTCCAGTTAAAAGTCAGGACCAAATCAGACGAACTCTGCCTAGCGTGGGAGAAGGTAGGTCACTGACGAGACTGTCAAAACACATGCTCACTCACTCACTGCCTCCCTCAGAGCAGTCTGACCCATTTAGCTCTGTGTGAGACGTACCTCTCTAACGGTCTACAGTCTGAGCTATTAGCACAGAGGCCATGTTCCAATCACCTTGAAAATATAGAATTTCTCTTGCTATCACTGATCGGATCTGACATGACGGCATTGGTTAAAGCTATTTAATGTAGGCCTCTGCTTTCACTTATACAACTATGTTAGATTAGTGATTATTTAGGAAAAAGGAAGGCTGGATCTTCAAGGTATTGAAACATGGCTGTTTTTGGGGTGTTTAGTAGAATGGGAGGGAAGTGTCTAAGGGGAGTATCTAGGGATGAGAGCTAGATGAAGGGCTCATGGTATGGATGCTAGGGAACTGGGTACCCACCCACCCACCTACCTGTGTCTGTCTGTCCTCCAGCTGAGGGTGTGTGAGGAGCAGCAGGCCTCGTGGGAGAGTCATCAGGCTGAGCTGAAGGAACGTGTCCAGGATGGAGAGGAGAAGGCTGACAAACTAGAGAAGTAATCATCAATTACCCAGATCTACCAGTCACTAAATTTAGTATGATTATGAACAAATTATGGCGACGATGGTGGAAATTATGATTTGTATTTATTAAGGATCCCAATTAGTTGCTACCAAGGCAGCAGCTACTCTTCCTGGGGTCCAGCAACATTAAGGCAGTTATATACCATTTTGAAAACATTACATTTCACAACACGTTGTGTGCCCTCAGGCCACTACTGCACTACCACACATCTACAACACAAAATCCATGTGTACGGGTGTGTATAGTGCTTATGTTATCGTGTGTGTCTCTTCACAGTCCCCGCTGTTCCATAAGGTGCATCTTTATCTGTTTTTTAAATCTAATTTTACTGCTTGCGTGAGTTACTTGATGTGGAATAGAGTTCCATGTAGCCATGGCTCTATGTAGTACTGTGCGCCTCCCATAGTCTGTTCTGGACTTGGCGACTGTGAAGAGACCTCTGGTGGCATGTGTTGTGGGGTATGAGACCGGCTTCATTAAATAGTACCCGCAAAACACCAGTCTCAACGTCAACAGTGAAGAGGCAACTCCGTGATGCTGACCTTCTAGGCAGAGTTGCAAAGAAAAAGCCATATCTCAGACAGCCCATCTTAATCAGTTGAGGACCTGTGAGGTGCCTGTTTCTCAAACTAGACACTCTAATGTATTTGCCCTCTTGCTCAGTTGTGCACCGGGGCCTCCCACTCCTCTTTCTATTCTGGTTAGAGCCAGTTTGCGCTGTTCTGTGGAAGGGAGTAGTACACAGCGTTGTACGAAATCTTCAGTTTCTTGGCAATTTCTCGCATGGAATAGCCTTCATTTCTCAGAACAAGAATAGACTGACGAGTTTCAGAAGAAAGTTCTTTGTTTCTGGCCATTTTGAGCCTGTAATCGAACCCACAATTGCTGATGCTCCAGATACTCAACTACTCTCAAGAAGGCCAGTTTTATTGCTTCTTTAATCAGCACAACAGTTTTCAGCTGGGCTAACATAATTGCAAAAGGGTTTTCTAATGATCAATTAGCCTTTTAAAATGATAAACTTGGATTAGCAAACACAACGTGCCATTGGAACACAGGACTGATGGTTGATGATAATGGGCCTCTGTACGCCTATGTAGATATTCCATTAAAAATCAGCCGTTTCCAGCTACAATAGCCATTTACAACATTAACAATGTCTACACTGTATTTCTGATCCATTTGATGTTATTTTAATGGACAAATAAATTGCTTTTCTTTTGAAAACAAGGACATTTCTAAGTGACCCCAAACTTTTGAACGGTAGTGTATATTATTAATGTTAGCTCTCCGTGTACATTTAAGGGCCAGCCGTGTTGCCCTGTTCTAGGCCAGTTGTAATTTTCCTAAGTCCCTCTTTGTGGCACTTGACCACACGACTGGACAGTAGTCCAGATGCGACAAAACTAGGGCCTGTTGGACCTGCCTTCTCCCCATCTTAGCTACTGTTGCATCAATATGTTTTGACAGTTTACAATCCTGGGTTACACCATGCAGTTCAGTGTCCTCAACTTGCTCAATTTCCACATTATTCATTACAAGATTTAGTTGAGGATTAGGGTTTAGTGAATGATTTGTCCCAAATACAATGCTTTTAGTTTTTGAAATATTTAGGACTAACTTATTTCTTGCCACCCATTCTGAACCTGACTGCAGCTCTTAGTTAAGTGTTGCAGTGATTTCACTTACTGTGGTAGCTGACGTGTATAGTGTGGAGTCATCAGCATACATAGACACACTGGCTTTACTCAGAGCCAGTGGCAGGTCATTAGTAAATATTGAAAAAAGTAAGGGGTCTAGACACCTGCCCTGGGGAATGCCTGACTCTACCTGGATTATGTTGGAGAGGCTTCCATTAAAGAACACCCTCTGTGTTCTGTTAGACAGGTAACTCTCAATCCAGCAGTCCAGCAGCAGATTAGGATTGATAATGCCAAAAGCTGCACTGAAGTCTAACAAAAAAGCTCCCACAATCTTTTTATCAATTTCGCTCAGCCAATCAGTAATTTGTGTAAGTGCCGTACATGTTGAATGCCCTTCCTTATAAGCGTGCTGAAAATCTGTTGTTAATTTGTTTACTGTGAAATAGCATTGTATCTGGTCAAACATAATTTTTCCCAAAAGTTTAGTAAGGGTTGGTAACAGGCTGATTGGTCGGCTGTTTGAGCCAGTAAAGGGTGCTTTGCTATTCTTGGGTAGCGGAATTACTTTTGCTTCCCTTCAGGCCTGAGGGCACACACTTTCCTGTAGGCTTAAATTGAAGAGATGGCAAATAGGAGTGGTAATATAGTCTGCTATCATCCTCAGTCATTTTCCATCCAAGTTGTCAGACCATGATGATGTACATAATGATGATGAATGTGATTCTTCTTCATCTAGGTACTGGCAGGAGGCCCAGGCTCTGTGCAGGATTGTGAACCAGCGATTGGCTGACACCCAGAGCCAATTAGACAGCCTGGAGTTGAAATACAGCAAGGCCAAGAGACTGCTGAGGGAATTCCAACACAGGTGAGCTCTGGGTAACGTAATCAACAGTTAACATGCCCCTGTAGGCCAATTGGTTATATTCACTGCCAGTTTAGGAAGTCTATTTCTCTCTGTGTCTGATGGTCCCTCTGTCCCTGTGCAGGGAGAAGGAGAGCGAGGGGAGAGGGGAAGAGCTGAAGAGGGAGCTGGAGGAGCTGCAGAGGGAGATGGAGGAGAGAGAGAAGAGACACGCAGAGACTGTGGAGAGACTCCAAAGACGGGTGAGACTGGAGGAGACAACGTGACCTGTCGTGTACTGCTACTACCTGAGTGAACTAAGCATTTCTTCCTCTGTGTTCAGATAGGTCATCTGGAGCGAGGGGAGATGGTCCCTGAGAGTAACAACCAATCACTGGACACCTCATTTACCTCAAGTAAGACACTGCCCCTCAGGTAGTGTGTGTGTGTGTCACTGTGTGTATTGTGCCTCTCACGCTATGTGTGTTTCAGGTGCAGACTGGAGCATTGCGGTGCCTGTGACAGGTCTGTTAGACACCAGCGCTCACAGGGCCAGAGCACAGCTCGCCCAAAAAGCCAAGAGACACCCTCCCTCACGAGACAAACTCAGAGAGTCCTTCAGACAACAGGTCAGACTCTCTCTCTCTCTCACGCACTCACTCTCTCACGCACTCACACTGAATTTTCTATCACTCCCTGTAGGGTGAGGAAGACCATATTCAGAGCTGTGATGGGAAGAGCCAATCGCTGACTGCGATCGCACCCCGAGAGACGGGACGATCCGTCTCAGCAGGAGGTCACCGTGTCCACTCCAGCACCTCCTCTCTGTCTGCCCTCACCCCACAGTCCCATCCCCCCTCCTCTCTCCTCACCCCCCAGCCAGGCCCGTCCCCCCCTAATGAGGACAACTCATCTACCACACGCAAATCAAAGAGGAGATTGCCTGACTTTAGGTAGGGCACACACCAGATCATCTTGTAGTCATAATGTACAGCAAGCCCAAATCAACCCCTAACCCCCTTTCCCCTAGGCACTTTGTGTAGATCTGAGAAGATTAGATATGTATAAGCAATATGGTAATAGCTCCACCTCCTAACCTCTCTGTTCTTCTGCCCTATAGCGGCCTCCGCAAGTCTCTGAGGAGAGGGAGGAAGAGTGAGGAGAAGAAGAACAAGGAAAGGTCCCTGCACCACAGGTACAAGAAATAACACTACGGAACTAGCAGAGGAAACGGGTACATTCAATACTATGCACACACCGGGTACAGTCAATACTATGCACACACCGGGTACAGTCAATACTATGCACACACCAGGTACAGTCAATACTATCCACACACCGGGTACAGTCAATACTATGCACACACCGGGTACAGTCAATACTATGCACACACCGGGTACAGCAATTTCTATTTACACACACATTACATTTCTTCTTTCAGTGTTTCTGCCATCCCCGTATTTGACTGTTGTGTGTTCCTCTGTCTCCAGGGGTTTATGTGTTGACCTGGTAGATGACCCCAGCAGTGGTGTGTCTCCCTCGGTCTCCTCCATGCCCTCCTGGCTGCCCTTCTCCTGGTTCGGAGAGCGAGGGAGGGAGAGGGAGAAGAAGAAGAAGGAGAGAGAGAAGGAGAGAGAGAAGCTTAGGTCTGTCTCCAGCGGCAGTCTACCGTACATGACCACCGGAAACAGTAGAGACTGCCAGGTGAGAGGGGAGTCTCACACACACACACTCTTAACACCTGAGGCCTTCCATCTGACTACCCTGGACTTTAAATCTCATTTCGTCTCTAAGCACTTGTCCAGCTCAATATCTTAGTGGCTTATTAACTGGTATGTTTTGTATGCTTATTTCACGTGGTGCCTTTCAATTTACACTCTCCTCTACACGCTCTTGACTGTGTAGGTGTGCAAGCGTGCACTTCAGTGTGTGTCAGTCACAAATGTATTTGCTCATTCTAGAGAGTGAATGTAGCAGACCCAGGTAGTCCCAGCTCTGCTCTCCTATCAGAGATGCTGTCAGATCTGTCTCTCTCTGCACGCTCTCAAACTCTCACCTTCTCCTCCTCAGAGGTGAGTCTCTCCCTCTCTCTCCATCTCTCACGTGGTCTCTCTCCCTGTCTATCTCTGTTCTCTCTGACCTGATTTCTGTTCTAGTTTTCTACCATGCCCTGTTTAAATTTTCTCCTCTCTGTAGCTCATAGGGCTGGATAGGATAGTGATTTACTTCCCCCTGAATGACCCAGAATGGGATGGAATTTTATTAAGGTGTTAGTTACTTTTTAATTACAAAAAGGTTTGTTATACATCTTACTGTTGGGTTTGTGTGTGTCTGTCTGGCACGTCCCTCTCCGTAGAACCTGGATGATGACTCAGTTTGTAACGATTACCAATGGCAAAGCCGACCCCTGGACCAATGGACCAATCAGCAGGTCTGTCTGTGGTTGATTGGCATGAGCATGGACCAATACGCAGCCCAGTTCACAGCCAATGGTGTGGATGGGCTGCAACTTCTCAGTCTGGACAACAACAAACTCAAGGTAGGTTTGTTCTACAGGGAGTCACTGGCCATGTCTCTATACTGTTAGACTGCATCATCTCCTCACCTTCTGTCCTGATTAGTTGAAATCATAGACAATAATCTATGGTTGAAATGACTGAATAGGTTTCCCTTCCTCCTGCCAGATCATTGACCATTGAGGAGAGGAAAGGGGGGCTAGAGTATTGCGACACAGCCCTAGATTTAGATGAATGAGTTCATTCCATATGGAGCAGCCCACTATGGCACAGAAATGAAAGTCTCGCTCTCTCCCTCCCTCCCTCCCTCCCTCCCTCCCTCCCTCCAGGCTCTGGGGGTGTGCAGTCATAGTGACCGTGCTGCTCTGAAGGGAAGGCTGAAGGAGATGAGGAAGACTCTGGAGAGGGAGAGAGAGGAGAAGGAATGTGAGAAAAGGAGAATGAAGGAGGTGATAGAAAGAGAGAAGAGGAGCAAGGAGATTGAAGGAAAGGAGGAGAAGGAGAGAAAGGATGCCAGGCGTAGTGGTAAAAAGGTCCGAACCGAGTCCCTCTGCTAAAGTCTGGACCCTGACCTCTAACCCCTAAACCCAGAAATGATCTTCAATCACAACTTTTTGTCTAAGTCCTACTACTATTAGGCTCGTCTCATGCAGTCCAGCCTTTAGACAATCAGCTATAGTCTCTCTCTCTATTATAAGCTCTCTACCAGCACAGAAATGTCAGTCTTACTGTAAGTCTTCAATGTGACTAGTGAAATATACTTTTTATCTGTTTTGTAACTTTATGTCAGACGTTTCTATATGAATATTGAACAGTTGATGGCAATGAAGCACTCAATTATTTTAAGCTGGGAATATTTTACATGCATTAATAAATAATGTTTTAAACGTATCGCCTTAGTTTTATTTGACTGTGATGACTGCATTTTTTTGCATGTAGGCTCAATTCAATTTCCATTACATAAAAGTATCAAAGTGCAGGAAAACCAAAAGAGATGGATGTGACTGTACAGGATGTAAAAACATTTATTTAAGAAATCCTTGCAATTTTCCACATTACTTTACGTTAATGTCAACACCTGTCAATGGACAAAATGCATTTCCTCTTCACCACTTACTTGAAATGATCACTGATGTAACATGAGTGGTTAGAAAACTACAATATGTAATTACTCCTCTGCCTCACTGGTCCATCTCAACAATCAATCAATCAAATACAATAGAAATGCATCATATGTAGGTACATAACGTTCTCTCTGAACGGTTATGGATGATAAAGTTAGTACATGGATATAATACAGAATGATGACATAGGAAAGCTGCTGCTATAACTTGATGAAAAATGACCCCAGTTAAACACGTGAAATGCATATAACTCTGTCCCTATACCCAAATGTGAGTGCAGATCTGTTGAAACACATGGATGTCTATTTGTTGTTTTGAGATGATTTGTCCGTCTGATTTGACACGTCCTTTCATACTTTGAAAAACACTCATTCTGTGTAGAAAAATAGTCTTTGGCCATTTGAGTAATGCTTAGGTAACATTCTCATACAGAAAATACACACAATAGTAACGCCCCTAGAGTCGATTGATGCACTGGTGCGTTAATCTAAGTTGCATAACAAAAACATTCCCATCAATCTGTCAGTTTAAGCTATTGGATGCGTCTCAATCCGCCAGTGTCTCACTTCCGCATCTACGATGGAAGGTGGCAGAATTAGAACGGTGTTTGTCAGACCGAAAATCGGTCTTCTCACAAATGTCTGTAGCGTCTGAACGGTTTGACCAAACTACACTGAACAAAAATATAAACGCAACATGTAAAGTGTTGGTCCCATGTTTCATGAGCTGAAATAAAAGCTTATTTCTCTCATTGTGTGCACAAATTTGTTTACATCCCTGTTAGTGAGCATTTCTCCTTTGCCAAGATAATCCATCCACCTGACAGGTGTGGTATATCAAGAAGCTGACCCAAACGAACCACCGCCCGTTTGGGTAAGAAGTCATGAATGTATTTACGTGTATATGTCTTCATTAGTCGTCTCTCCGTTGAAACCAATCAATCCTTCTATGGGAAGGAGTCGGTTTTATAGCCCCGTTTCGGTGTAAGGCTCTGCTTGTCCACCAGAGGTCACAATGTCCTTCTTCTTAGTTGTCCTGGCTTGGAGTGGAGTGTTCAAATAGAGCAGATACTCAGATGCACCAATGATTGTCTGAGATGGGATTTTCTCCTTCTCACCTCATGTCTTTGGTCAAAGTTCTAGATCACTTTACACGGACAGCTGCAGACTGGCAATGTTCTGGTCTAGTGAGTTTATCTTCTTCACCTCATGTTGAGATTCATCGTTCTAACCATTTGAAATGTGTGGACTACCATCACCAATCTTTCTGGTCCAACCATTTTCAGCCGTGTAGCCACAGCTCCACGCTTTCTGGTCCAATGTAAATTCCGTTACCAAGGCTTTTTATGCACTCTGGTAAAAGGGGCGTTCCTACTTGCTGACACAATCTCTGAGCTCACTTGGGGTGTGGCTAGTCACCGTGCATAGCTTATGAATACCTCTGATCTCATTAAAAAACTAAAATCACATTCCTATCTTAACAAAACTACTCTCATTCTCCATATTATATCCACAACATATTGTGGATGAAGTGTGTATACTTTCCAAATTACAGTATTTTCGTTATAACATTTTTAATGACATCACAAAATAATAAACAAAATGACATGATTAGTCTTTAGATCCCCACTCACCATAACAAACATGTGGATGTTAGAAATATTGTTCCAGTGTTTACTTTTTGGACGTTATAATTTTGGCTGAAAAAGTATTCTTGGGGTCAAAGCACATTCCAATCACCATACTAGAGGACCAGAGACAGATTCTCCTCCTCTTAGATTTACGAGGTGTCAAAGCCGGCCCAGCTCCACTTCCCCTCTTCTGTGGGTGAGAGGGTCTGGTTGTTGTCAGCCATTTGCAAGCTGATCTGAGGCCTTTGATCCTCACCCAGGAGAGTCATGGCAGGGCCTAATTTATTTATTTCAATTGACTGATTTCCTTATACGAACTGTAACACAGTGAAATTAAGTTAATTGTTGCATGTTGTGTTTATATTTTTGTTCAGTGTATTATGACCACTATGTAAAAGGGAGACTCACGAACACCATGGTGTTCTCTGTTTTGCTCTACGACCCCCATAAGTTTCACGGGACTCGTCTGAAGGTAACCGGTACCGGATGTTTTTTAAACGAATGGAAGTATGAAGGTCGTTTTGTGCCTACCCCATAAAAGGGGTTAAATATGTGTAAAAATAAATAAACATTTCCTGAGTTTCAAAAAATATATATCCTAGATTTAGGACAGACAATTCAAAACCTTGTTTCTCATTATTTTTTGACTATACTTTTTGCCATTTATGAATGTGTTATTCAATGCATTCCTATGGGCTTTAGTAGTAAAGGTCAAAATCAATATTTTATCAAATATATTTTTAATGTATTACTTTTTTTATACCCAAAGGGTTCCTAAAAATCAAATAGCTAAATGATCCATAGTATGACCATCTTAAAACAATTCCATGTCAGCTTAGCACCCCACCCCACCCCAATGTCTTAGACTCCAAAGAATTAAACAATCTAAAAAATGTATACAAAAACCCTCCATCCTATACCATAGGCGTACATTTACAAAACAATGTCCAGAGCTCTGAAAGAGAGAGAACTGGGGTTCTTGACCCAAAATGTACAAGAAGAACACACACAAAAAAACGATCTTCTTTCTGTCCAGTGATCAACATGGATGTCACTATCAAGATAAAATAAAATCAGACAATATAATACTTAATTGATCCCAAAAAGGGACAATTTGATCAAGTGTCTTATTTTACCTTATCTAAACTGCTATTGCAGCATCATCATTCCTCTTTAAAGTCCACTAATAAAGCTTTTTGACATTCCTTTTGTATTTCCATGTACAATCAAATGTCCACACTGCGGAGACAAGCCTTGGAATGGTTGGAGGAAGACTGTGGAATGTTAGGTAGGAATTCTGTGTGTCTCTGGGATGTCTGTAGGAATGGGCGCTCCAGCATTCTGCCATCATTAAGAGTAACTCGTTCTCATTCCAGCTTGTTATGCAGCCTTTCATTTACAGGATTTCCAGTTGGTCTTTCTCCTTCTTTTTGATCCGCAACGCATTGTAGCTGGGAACGTGCTGTCGTCGTATTTGGAGCGTTAAACCTCTCACCACCATTACAGGAATAGTTCATTACCCAAACTCAATCTATGAATTCAAAATATGAAAGCGTCTGAGAAAGGTTGATTTAGGGGTGAACTATCCCTTTAAGTATGGAGCTGCGAGTGCTTTTACAGAGCCACCAATAGTCCTATATACAGAAAGCTGCTATAAACCAGAATGAGAGCAGTCGAGGAACCTTGAGAGAGGAAAAGGAAGTGCTTGAAGTTCCTATAGCAACTACAGTACCAGAAACCAGAGAGAGAGCTGCAGAACACAAAGATCCAACCCAGAGGGTCTTTGGAGCGATAGATGAACATTTCATAATGATTTTCAACCAAAGCATTAATCCCAGATGGCCATGCATGTAGACAGTCCATAACTCAGCAATAACAGTTGGAAAGAAGAACATTTCCAAGCAGAAACGTGAAGTGCTTTCTACAGAAATTAACATTTCATTCCATCCATTCCAACATCATAGTAGTCATCATCATAGCACTGCATTTGATTTCGTAGCTCTGAGCCCCTTTACGGTCTGTCTATTAGAAAAAGCGGTTTCCTCTCCAGCGATGGAGTTAGTCTGCCACTGTGCCCGTCCATCCTTCATGCCACTCTGTGCCCCAACAGGCATGTACACTGAAGGTGGGTATAGATATGTTTACCCCAGAGACTGACAGCGTCTTTCTCTCTCTTTCTCTCTTTATGCATCAGACGGCGTCAATCGCTCTTTGTCAGAGGGAGGGGCATCCTCTTTCTTCTTCCCGAAGAAACCACACTAGAGAGAAGTAACGCATTAGTGTGTGTGTGTGTGAGTATGTTGATGTGTGTGTGTGTGTGAGTATGTGGATGTGTGTGAGTATGTGGATGTTTGTGTGTGAGTATGTGGATGTGTGTGTGTGTGTGTGAGTATGTGGATGTTTGTGTGTGAGTATGTAGATGTGTGTATGTGTTTGTGAGTATGTGGATGTGTGTTTATGTGTGTGTGTGTTTGTGTGTGAGTATGTGGATGTGTGTGTGTGTGCGTGAGTATGTGGATGTGTGTGTGTGAGTATGTGGGTGTGTGTGTGTGTATTCATATTGTATATACTGTAAACACTTTCTCTGTGCTCCCCCATTCTGTCTTACCTTCCAGAGCAGGAAGACCAGCAGGCCGAGCAGCAGCAGTCCTAACAAGATGGCCACCAGGATGATCCACCATGGCAGTCCTCCGTACTGAGCCACACGACGCTCTGGGAACACTGTCACTCTCACCTGAGAAAGACAACATCAATAGAAAATCAATAGAAAGTAAAATAAAGTGAAATATGTTCGTGTTTGAAATGTGAAACTGATAAAGTACCTGTGTCTCAGGGTTCCTCAGGACCATGTTCTTAGCTGTGCCGTCCACTCTGAGAGAGGCTTTCACTATCACGTCCAGATAGTTCAGCTTGGAGTACTCCTGTTGGGAATCACAGAGGGATGTGAGTGCGGACAGGGCATTGAGGTGCAGTCAAATATCAAAGAGAGAGGTGTGTGTGTGTGTGTGTGTGTGTGTGTGTGTGTGTGTGTGTGTGTGTGTGTGTGTGTGTGTGTGTGTGTGTGTGCGTGCGTGCGTGCGTGCGTGCGTGCGTGCGTGCGTGCGTGCGTGCGTGCGTGCGTGCGTGCATGTGCGTGTCTTACCTCCAGGAATGTGCTGTTCCAGAGGCGAGCCCTGAGCAGGATGACTGCATTACTGTCCAGGCCCTTTATGGAGCAGCGAATCTCCACACACTTTGCCCCATCCTCACACGACTGGAACACACACACCATATTACAGTATAGCTCGTACACGACTAACAACACAACATTTAAACATTGATAAACTGGGAGAGAAGGAGAGTTGTGTTACCAGAGTAGTGTATTTCCTCTTGTCAGTCAGCAGTGCGATGGTTCCCTCAGGTTTGTCTGTCTCCCCTACAGCCCGCCTCCTCCTGCTACTGCTCCTCTCCTGAACACAGTGTAACAGAAGTTAGATATATGGTCATTTGGCCTCCTCCTGCTACTGCTCCTCTCCTGAACACAGTGTAACAGAAGTTAGATATATGGTCATTTGGAACAAACCTTCCCTTGGTAAGCACCGTACAACAGAGTTAACTGTATTGGGACTGTTATTGTGTTGGAGTTTGACTGTTTGACTGTGTATGAACCCCCCCACCCCAATTGTCTTCAGTACTTGCTAACCTCTTTGACAGTGAGTGGGTTGATCTCTCTCTCTGGAGAGCATGTGATCTGTTCCAGACCTTGGGAGTCAATCTTCACCAGGTACAGGATCCACTTCCCCTCCACGGTTTCCTTCGGCCAATTGATGATCAGGGAGGCGGTGCCATAGGTCTTCAGGGGCTTCCCTAGGTTGATCACCTGTCAATCAAAAGACAATCGAAGGATAGGTCAGTTCAGTTTATAATGAAATATGAATAACCCTGTTCGGTATGATAATTGTGTTTTTTTTGTGTTTATGAAAATAAATAAAAAGACAATCCTTACCCTGAACTCGTACTCGATCGGGCTGCCGATGTCTCCCTCTGACTTCATGGCGCTCTCACCTTTGACCTCTCCAGTGAAATAGACCTGGGAGGGCTTGGCCACTCTGGGGAAACAGGTAACACACCGTGAGCACAAACACACACAACACCTTACTGAAGCTTAGATGCTGGGAGGTGTGACATTTGGTCTCACGTGCAAAAGCACATTAAAGTGAGCAGCTGGCAAATAATATTTTTTTACCCTGTGAGGGACAGCTGCAGCTCGATCACCACTTTGGCCTTGGCCTTGACTCCGCCCACCTTCTGCTGGTCACTTGTCCTGAAAGGTCAGAGATCAAATCAGCACTGTTGGTCAAATCCATCTCTATTTCATTATAGACATGACAGAGGAGTGTGTACTCTACTCACGTCTCCAGCTTCAGGTCTATCTCCAGCTCTGTGGTGTTCAGAGAGATGCCTGCTGTACTCAGGATGATGTAGAACTTCACCTAAACCCACAGAGAGATATGTTAGCGCACACACACACGCACACACACATGCTTTAGCTAGTGATCATGATTAGCTGATGGTGTCTCTCACCTCTGAGTCTCGCTTGAAGGGGTTCCCCAGCTCACAGTCTGCCTGAGAGCCATTCTTATTGGCCACACAGGTCACCTGCCTGTCCTACAATCAACAACAACAGCCAATCACAACTCAGTACCAGTCTAAAAGATGGAAGAGGGAAAGGAGAGAGAGAGAGAGAGAGAGAGGTAACTCACTGTGTTGGGTGCAGAGCGAGAGGCAGGGTAGGAGAGAGAGGTAACTCACTGTGTTGGGTGCAGAGCGGGAGGCGGGTAGGAGAGAGAGGTAACTCACTGTGTTGGGTGCAGAGCGGGAGGCGGGTAGGAGAGAGAGGTAACTCACTGTGTTGGGTGCAGAGCGGGAGGCGGGTAGGAGAGAGAGGTAACTCACTGTGTTGGGTGCAGAGCAGGAGGCAGGGTAGGAGAGAGAGGTAACTCACTGTGTTGGGTGCAGAGCGGGAGGCGGGTAGGAGAGAGAGGTAACTCACTGCGTTGGGTGCAGAGCGGGAGGCGGAGTAGGAGAGAGAGGAGGGGAAGGAGGCAACCAATGACGCCTCATGAGCATCATCTCCATTCTGATTGGTCACTGTGATCTCCAGGGCGATGTCCGTCTGGTCGCTAAGGGAGACCACTGGCACCCCATTCTCCCTGCAAGGACACCAGCAGACGATGTCAGCATTGATTACATTCACCCAGGTGATGGTTGGTGACACAGGTTAACGTGTCCTACTCACACAGGTAGTAGAATGAAGATGTCCTTGTTGGGTTCTCTGTAGTAGAAGCGGTGCTGAAGCTGTAAGTTACTCTGACACACATTATCACTGCCACATCCTTCCTTCAGGAAACTCACCTACACACACAGGGAACAACATGCCAATCACACAAACTCACCTACACACACAGGGAACAACATGCCAATCACACAAACTCACCTACACACACAGGAAACAACATGCCAATCACACAAACTCACCTACACACACACAGAAAACAACATACCAATCACACAAACTCTTCCTAACACAGAGGGAACAGGCTTTGAGCAGGCCACAGTTGCATATCTCTGTCACATACAGTAGGTGACCCAAAGCTGCCCAATAGGAGACTGTGTTACGGTTGTTATTGGTTACCTCAGCGCGGGCCGTGATAGGCTGGTTGGAGTCGAGGATGGGCATGAGCCCTGGGAGCGCTCTTCTCTTCCTTTTGGAGTTCTGTATCTCCACGGTAACCTCGATGGGGATTCCCCTAAGCTTGTCCTTAATGTTCTCCTGTTGGTGACAGACACACAGAGTAGAGATCAGATATACATAGTAATGAAATACTACTGACACAGGCTAGAGGAGACTTGTCCACATTTCACCTACAAGGCTGGTGAAAGACTGTCTTGAAATATTTCTAATTTAATTTCCGTCTCTCTTCCCGTTCTCTTCTTACTGTTAGCAGTGTCACTAGTTATGAGAGTTGTGATGTAGTACCTGTAGAGTGAGTTTGGCGGTGACACACTCCTTCTTGCCCTGTGCACTGAGGGTGAGAACACCAGTGGACTCGTAGTCATGGTCCTCGCTGGAACGTGTGGAGAAGGTTACTCTGGGGGGAAGACCCTTCTTCCTACGCTCCACCTCCGCTTCAAAGGAGTACGCTACCGCTGTAGGTAGGTAGGGGAGGGAGGGAGAGGGAGAGGGAGAGGGAGAGGGAGAGGGAGAGGAGAGAGAGAGAGAGAGAGAGAGAGAGAGAGAGGAGAGAGAGAGAGAGAGAGAGAGAGAGAGAGAGAGAGAGAGAGAGAGAGGAGAGAGAGAGAGAGAGAGAGAGAGAGAGAGAGAGAGAGAGAGAGAGAGAGGAGAGAGAGAGAGAGAGAGAGAGAGAGAGAGAGAGAGAGAGAGAGAGAGTTACTATTGCAGTTATTATTGCATACTGATCTAAAGCCCATTGAATTTATTTTCATTTTTATCATAACACAAAAGGTGTTGTCTTACTCAGTTTGGGGTTATAGGATTTAGGGTTGGCTGTGTAGGAGAAACAGGCCTCTACCTCCAAGCTGGGAACACATAAAGTCATTAGTATTTATGAATATGGTTCTACTGGTTTAAATGGTTTATCCTTTTTCATATGCAGATAAACAGCACAAACACAGCAAACTTACCAAATGCTGTTGCCACAGTTCTTCTTAGTCAGATCAATCTCCTTTGGCACTGTCTTGACAACCTTCTGGATGTTGATGACTGGCCGAGCTCTGGAGTAACGTCACAGTGTCAAGTGTTTAAAGGTAAAGTGGCAAAAAAAAAGTAGAACGAATGGAATGTATTTAAAACAAAACATTGTGGGGTAGATGACTAACAGATTACTATTTGCCATTGTTACCTGTAGACAAACACAGAGTCGGAGAGAGATCCTATGGCCAGGTCAGGGTAGGAATTCCTGTCCAGGTCCATGTTACCAGCTAGAGAATAACCGAACAACCTCGTCTTTGATGGCACCCCTGACAACACCTGTGCAGGTTTGATATTAATGCCCTGAGCTGAGCCATGGTAGATGAACACTTTCCCTGCCCCATTGTCATCATATGGTGCTCCCACAGCAATGTCTGACAGAGAGAGAGAGTCAGGATTACACACTGTCTACATACACACAAAGGCAAAGACAGACATATGAATACACACACACAGCTACGTTTTTAGGATTTCTACATTTGGGGAAAATGTTTTAGCAGGGTCTGAAAAAAGGGCCTTTTATAAACACATTTCATTCAATTCTACTTCATATACATGATAGAAGACATTAGCAAATTATTATTTTTTATCACACAAATGGCCAAATGCAGGCTACTGTGCAACTCGCTATTCAGGTAGGATGCAATTTATAATCATTTTTTTTTTTATCATTATTGTATATCATTGTTATTATTGTAGGCCTATTCATTTACCTAAACCAGCTTTTTTTATGATTTTTTTTATTTTACCCCCTTTTTCGATCTTGTCTCATCGCTGCAACTCCCCAACGGGCTCGGGAGGCGAAGGTCGAGTCATGCGTCCTCCGAAACATGACCCGCCAAAACCGCGCTTCTTAAGCAGGCCTTTTTTGTAAAATAAATATCATTAGCCTATTGCTGTCATTTGGGTATGGTTTGCACTAGCCTTTCTTGTTTATAAAGTTTAGAAACTTTTGTGATGGTTTGGTGTGGTTATTAGCCTGTTATACTGCAGGCCGATGAAGGCAGTGCGCACCGGCACTCCAACTGACTCCGACAGTTGACCTTGAGGTGAGGAAGACAGTTCCAGGCCTACCAGAGGTACTCTTATAATCTAACAATATAATGCTTATCTTTATAACAAAATATTCTAATCGAAAAAATTACGAATAAACCTCCTTCTGTATGCCTATATCTGTGTGCTCCATATTTAGTTTAAGATGGGTTATAAGGCCTTTTGTAAAATAAATATCATTAGCCTACTGCTGTAATTTGTAGGGTTAGGTAGGCACTAGCCTGTCTTAGTAATTGCTGCAATATAGCCTGTTCAATACTTTTGTGAAGGTTTAAACCAGTTCGCAAGTGTTTTGTTTCATTCTTTTGGGTCAAATCAAGTTCCAACTGTAGACGAATGTTTGTTTGCTGAGCTATAATATCCTGCTTTTATTTTCCCTATAAACAATGTCTTGACTTAATGTTGATATTACTCTAATAAAGTTTAGAAACTTTTGTGTAGGTTTGGTGTGGTGTGGCTATTAGCCTGTTATACTCCAGTCCTGTGATATGAAGGCAGTGCGCACCGGCGCTCCACGCAACTGACTCCGACAGTTGAACTTAAGGTGAGGAACAATGTTTTAGGCCTAGCAGAGTTACTCCTATAATCTAATAATACAATGCTTATCTTTATAACAAAATATTATGATCGAAAAATAACGAATTTGCCTCCTTCTGTACGCCTATATCTGTATAGCAGACGCAGTAGCCGATCTGGTAAGGCTAAATAAATGCATGTTAGTGTTGTTGCATGCCGCTAGTGTTGTTGCATGCCGCCTGCATATCTTTCTCTCGCTCTCTCTGGGGCTAGGCCTAAGCTTCTATTCCTTCATATTTATTTGTAAATATTAATATCATAGAGTGGACACCTAAGACTATAGGCCTATGCATGCAATGCCCTGATGCATTTAGTGCTCAAATCTCTGACAGCTGAACAGTGAGGTAGACAATTATTGTTTCAGGAAAGCAAAAACCAATAAAACAATAGGCTATAAAGTTTTGCATGTACTATAGATCGAAACACAACAAATAATGTTTTTGTAATTTGTTATAGGCTGTTTATAAGGATGTAATGTGGCTCATTTGGCCAATATCCCTTGTTTACTAATGAAGCTGAGTGCGTGGGTGGATACCCTAATGGGTTAAGCACCCAATCTCAAATGTCCGATAAATTAAAATCTTCCCAGTCACTTGTCCGGTTGCAAATGTTCTTAACATACTCTGATATATAGTATATACTGTATATATTATAGGCTACAAAATACACTTTCCAGTGACACCGACTCACCCAATGACAAAGATTAAGGCAGCAGATACTCGCCGGTGATGGCCGATGCGCCTGTGCCAATTTCTCAAAATAAGCTGCTGTTCGCTCAGAATTGCTCAAAATTTGTTGAGATTTTTTTTTTATAGGTCTTCTCTTTTCAGCAGTAGGCATTTGCTTTCTAAACGGTAGGCATACGTTTTTCTCGCGATTGTATTTAGAAATGTGTGAAAGGCAAACTGACAGCCGCAACCAACCATAGAAATAGAGTACATAGATGGCGAAATGTGTGAAAGGCAAACTGACAGCCGCAACCAACCATAGAAATAGAGTACATAGATGGCAATTCAGATCTGGCAGCCATTGTTAGTATACCCATGAGTTTAACAGTCAAAGTGCCAGGGTAAGAGGTTCCAAAATCCTACTATGGATTATATCTATGGCCACAACGCAACAAACTGTTCTATATTTAGCCCGCTTGATGCCCAAATTGCCTTCCAGACTGTAAGTGCTTGTTATAAAACTTAATCCACAACTATTTATTTGAAATTATGCTCTTTGGTGCAGTATTTTGAATTATTTAATTTATATGTCTGTTCAGATAGCCTAATCTTGCCAAAATTATTTCAATTTATCAGGGGGTGCTGCACCACCACCAGCAACCCTACTTCCCACCGCTAGGCATACCCCCCTCACCCTGATAACCGTCCAAGTTGAGATCTCCCAGGTTTTCTACAGCCAGTCCGAACATGGAGTCCTGAGGTCCGTCTATCCTGGTGGGTGTGAGCTTACTCCAGACTCCGCCCTTGTTAATATAGGCATAAATAGCCCCGCCCACCTTTCCATCCTTCTCAAAGAACTGAGGGGCTCCCACCACGATATCCTGCCACCTAGAGCCAGAGAGAGAGAGAGAGAGAGAGAGAGACATGACTCAGAGAAACAGAGAAAGAGATCATCTCAACATGGAACTAATCGTCTCATTTCAAATATCATCTGAGAGGCTCAAACTATGATATCCCTCACTGTGGAGAGAGAGAAGCCATGATACCCTCCACTGTGGAGAGAGAGAAACTGACAATGATATTCTGTCTTAGATAGATAGATAGATAGATAGAAGGATATGGAAAGTGTAGTTTATTGATTTGATACACGCAATTATGTCTATGTCTCTGTCCAGTTTTGAGGAGCGTCTATGCAAACTGGTGAGACGTACAATAACCTTTACAACCCTTCGATGTGGTTGTATATTCGGACAATCACGCAAAAGACAACAGCTGGAGGGAGATATCACGGATATCACTACATTTTTACAACAACACTGATATCAAAGAAACATGGAGAAAGATTTGGGACCAGTATGATCGCAATCTAAAAAGGGTGAAGGAGATGAGGAGTGGGGCTGCCGCTGGTGGGACTGAATTGTTCATGTGGAAACCATGCGTTTGATACCATTCCACTTATTCGGCTCCAGCCATTACTATGAGCCCGTCCTCCCCGATTAAGGTGCCACCAACCTCCTGTGCATGGTACCATGGATGGTGTCTATTCCTAATGATCAATGTTTCCCGTTTCTCAGGGTCATGACGATATACTTTCACAGGACCATCGAGCAGTACTGTGTCCGCTCCGTCCACTCTCAAGTGAGACAGAGCCCTCCGTCTCACCCCAAAAACGTGTTTTTTTTCTTATTCACACGTTAAGGTGGTGGGTAATTTACTGTGGATTTTTTTGCATGTGTTTATATTTTTATGTACAAAAGGGAAGCCCAGCCGCAGGGCCAGATGGATTACCAGGACGTGTACTCCGAGCATACGCTGACCAACTGGCAAGTGTCTTCACTGACATTTTCAACCTGTCCCTGACCGAGTCTGTAATACCTACATGTTTCAAGCAGACCACCATAGTCCCTGTGCCCAAGAACACCAAGGTAACCTGCCTAAATGACTACCGACCCGTAACATTCACGTCTGTAGCCATGAAGTGCTTTGAAAGGCTGGTCATGGCTCACATCAACACCATCATCCCAGAAACCCTAGATCACCTCCAATTTGCATACCACCCAACAGATCACGCAATCACTATTGCACTCCACACTGCCCTTTCCCACCTGGATAAAAGGAACACCTACGTGAGAATGCTGTTAATTGACTACAGCTCAGCGATCAACACCATAGTGCCCTCAAAGCTCATCACTAAGCTAAGGACCCTGGGACTAAACCCCTCTCTCTGCAACTAGATCATGGACTTCCTGACGGGCCACCCTCAGGTGGTAAGGGTAGGCAACAACACATCTGCCATGCTGATCCTCAACACGGGGGCCCCTCAGGGGTGCGTGCTTAGTCCCCTGCTGTACTCCCTGTTCACCCATGACTGTGTGGCCAAGCACGACTCCAACACCATCATTAAGTTTTCCGACAACACAACGGTGGTAGGCCTGATCACCGACAACGATGAGACAGCCTATTGGGAGGAGGTCAGAGACCTGGCAGTGTGGTGCCAGGACAATAACCTCTCCATCAACGTGATCAAGACAAAGGAGATGATCGTGGACTACAGGAAAAGGAGGGACGAGCACGCCCCCAGTATCATCAACGGAGCTGTAGTGGAGCAGGTTGAGAGCTTCAAGTTCCTTGGTGTCCACATCAAACACACCAAGACAGTCGTGAAGAGGGCACGACAACGCCTATTCCCCCTCAGGAGACTAAAAGATTTGGCATAGGTCCTCAGATCCTCAAAGTTCTACAGCTGCACCATAGAGAGCATCCTGACTGGTTGCATCACCGCCTGGTATGGGAACTGCTCAGCCTCCAACCGCAAGGCGCTACCGAGGGTATTGCGTACAGCCCAGTACATCACTGGGGCCAAGCTTCCTGCCATCCAGGAAATCTATACCAGGTGGTGTCAGAGGAAGGCCCTAAAAATTGCCAAAGACTCCAGCCACCCTAGTCATAGACTGTTCTCTCTGCTACCGCATGGCAAGCGGTACCGGAGCGCCAAGTCTAGGTCCAAAAGGCTTCTTAACAGCTTCTATCCCCAAGCCATAAGACTGCTGAATGGCTAATCAAATGGCTACCCGGACTATTTGCATTAACCCCCCCACCTTTTTTACGCTGCTGCTACTCGCTGTTTATTATCTATGCATAGTCACTTTACCCCTACCTACAGTGAGGGAAAAAAGTATTTGATCCCCTGGTGATTTTGTACGTTTTCCCACTGACAAAGACATGATCAGTCTATAGTTTTAATGGTAGGTTTATTTGAACAGTGAGAGACAGAATAACAACAAAAAAATCCAGAAAAATGCATGTCAAAAATGTTATAAATTGATTTGCATTTTAATGAAGGAAATAAGTATTTGACCCCTCTTCAAAACATGACTTAGTACTTGGTGGCAAAACCCTTGTTGGCAATCACAGAGGTTAGACGTTTCTTGTAGTTGGCCACCAGGTTTGCACACATCTCAGGAGGGATTTTGACCCACTCCTCTTTGCAGATCTTCTCCAAATCATTAAGGTTTCGAGCCTGACGTTTGGCAACTCAAACCTTCAGCTCCCTCCACATATTTTCTATGGGATTCAGGTTTGGAGACTGGCTAGGCCACTCCAGGACCTTAATGTGCTTCTTCTTGAGCCACTCCTTTGTTGCCTTGGCCGTGTGTTTTGGGTCATTGTCATGCTGGAATACCCATCCACGACCCATTTTCAATGCCCTGGCTGAGGGAAGGAGGTTCTCACCCAAGATTTGACGGTACATGGCGCCGTCCTTTCGTCCCTTTGATGCGGTGAAGTTGTCCTGTCTCCTTAGCAGAAAAACACCCCCAAAGCATAATGTTTCCACCTCCATGTTTGACGGTGGGGATGGTGTTCTTGGGGTCATAGGCAGCATTCCTCCTCCTCCAAACACGGCGAGTTGAGTTGATGCCAAAGAGCTCCATTTTGGTCTCATCTGACCACAACACTTTCACCCAGTTCTCCTCTGAATCATTCAGATGTTCATTGGCAAACTTCAGACGGGCCTGTATATGTGCTTTCTTGAGCAGGGGGACCTTGCGGGCGCTGCAGGATTTCAGTCCTTCACGGCGTTGTGTGTTACCAATTGTTGTCTTGGTGACTATGGTCCCAGCTGCCTTGAGATCATTGACAAGTTCCTCCCGTGTAGTTCTGGGCTGATTCCTCACCGTTCTCATGATCATTGCAACTCCACGAGGTGAGATCTTGCATGGAGCCCCAGGCCGAGGGAGATTGACAGTTCTTTTGTGTTTCTTCCATTTGCGAATAATCGCACCAACTGTTGTCACCTTCTCACCAAGCTGCTTGGCGATGGTCTTGTAGCCCATTCCAGCCTTGTGTAGGTCTACAATCTTGTCCCTGACATCCTTGGAGAGCTCTTTGGTCTTGGCCATGGTGGAGAGTTTGGAATCTGATTGATTGATTGCTTCTGTGGACAGGTGTCTTTTATACAGGTAACAAGCTGAGATTAGGAGCACTCCCTTTAAGAGTGTGCTCCTAATCTCAGCTCGTTACCTGTATAAAAGACACCTGAGAGCCAGAAATCTTTCTGATTGAGAGGGGGTCAAATACTTATTTCCCTCATTACATTTACATTTTAGTCATTTAGCAGACGCTCTTATCCAGAGCGACTTACAGTTAGTGAGTGCATACATAATTTTTTTAATTTTTTCATACTGGCCCCCCGTGGGAATCGAACCCACAACCCTGGCGTTGCAAATGCCATGCTCCAACTGAGCTACATCCCTGCCGGCCATTCCCTCCCCTACCCTGGACGACGCTGGGCCAATTGTGCGCCGCCCCATGGGTCTCCCAGTCGCGGCCGGCTACGACAGAGCCTGGATTCGAACCAGGATCTCTAGTGGCACAGCTAGCAGTGCCTTAGACCACTGCGCCACTCGGGAGTCATTAAAATGCAAATCAATTTATAACATTTTTAATATGCGTTTTTCAGGATTTTGTTGTTGTTGTCCTGTCTCTCACTGTTCAAATAAACGTACCATTAAAATTATAGACTGATCATGTCTTTGTCAGTGGGCAAACGTACAAAATCAGCAGGGGATCAAATACTTTTTTCCCTCACTGTACATGTACCTCAATTACCTCGACTAACCTGTACCCCGCACATTGACTCGGTACCGGTACCCCCGTATATAGCCTCGTTATTGTTATTGTTGCTCTTTTCTTTTTTTACTTTAGTTTATTTAGTAAATCTTTTCTTATCTCTTATTTTTCTTAAAACTGCATTGTTGGTTAAGGGCTTATAAGTCAGCATTTCACGGGAAGGTCTACACCTGTTGTATTCGACGCATGTGACAAATAAAATTTGATTTGATTTTACTTAATTCCTCATTCACGTTACTGGTTTTTACTTTGTGTTTTTTCTCTTATTTCCCCTTTCATCACACTTTTCACCTGTGTATTACATTGTTTTACATATCACTATTTTCTTCTTGTGATAGTAAATAAATATCTAAAAGGTCTACTTGTGGCAGAAAAGTGTTTTGAATCAGTCACTCAGTAAACGTGTACTGCTTTGTAAATGAGCTATGTAGTTGGTCAATGTCTTGGGGGTCTGTATTTATTGTCTACAGTTGGACAGTCATTGTCACCCACGTACCATAGGAAAGTCCTCATTGAAAGGCCACTACACATTACACAAGGTTAGGTAAATGTCTTGAGGGTCTAGCCTCCTAAAAATATGAAAAACTAAAACAACCAGGATGAAGTGACGGTCATTATGCTACTCTTTATTGTGATTTGTAAAGTGTGAATAAGAAAAACTGCAAAATCCAAACAGCAAAACCAAGTGTGTAGCTCAGAACATAACATATAAACAGACATCAACCAGAAGAAGAGAACGTGTGTGCGCACGTTTTCCAAACCACACTCCCACATTTACATTTTTCTTGGGTCCAGGAAGCTGTCTCCCCTCTCCTGGACGCAGGTCCCTAGTGGTTGTGGAGTGGATGTACCGTGTTGATGACTGTGTTGTCAATGTCTGTAGCGTCTGGGGTCCAAAGTTTATTGTGGAGGGCCACGCAGGCTATCACAATGGTCTCAGCTTTCTCTGGGGCAACCTCAAGGGCTCTTCCTAGGATCCTCCAAAGGATCCTCCAAAGCAGTTCTCTGAAATTCTTCTGGCTCTTGAGTGGCGGTAGTTATAGATCTCTGTGTCATCAAGGCCAGAAGAACCTTTGAATAAAATAAGTCTTTCCATTAGTAATGAACAGGACCATGAAGGCTTCAAATGTGTACAGTAACAACTGTGTAGAATATCTAAGATGTCTGATCACTTGTATGCATATCATTACAACATCTATATTGGTATAATTTTATATAGTCACATGTATTTAGCGTATCTTACCTGGATATGGTCGCATCAGGTTTACCCTCAGAAGGAATGCCTCATATCCCACGAAGACATAGGGGCTTGGTGTTTGGGTCCCTGGCAAACACTATGGCCTTGGTAGCGGCAGCTGGCCTACAATGAGTTGGGAGCCGAACTTGCTTTGTGAGAAGATTCCCGCATCTCAAAAGCCCTTGTATTGGTAGTACTCACTGACCGAGTTTGTCGGAGCTCGGATCCTAATATGTTTTCCGTCGACAGCTCCTGCAAAAAACTGATAATTCCAATGATTCCCAAAATCTCTGCCGATTTCTGCCAATTTTGCGGCAATTGTAATTCAAAAAGAGACATTTCTGCTTCTGTGGCTAAAAAGCAGTGTCGTTAAGCATATAACACCAGACTAAGCTGACATGATGTCATCACTAGTTAGAGTCAAAAAGAGTGCCTCGGCCTTGCTTGGTAAGCTACTCTGGCTCCCCAAGCCCCCTAGTGGATATACACTACACAAGGTGGACTTCCTCTCTGGGGTGAACGCAACAAAACGAGTCCGTTGCCCCCCAGAAAACGACTCCACCCACGTCCACTCATGCACGTAGATCATCGGAGTGGAGCTTGTAGCTGCCTTATGACGGCCTTCCACATCTGCGGTGGAAGGTGGCCGAGCTACAGCGGTGTTTGTCAGATCAGGAGACATCCCAAAAATCGGTATTCTCACAAAAACGGCTGTAGCGTCCAACTAATATGACCACTCTATGGAAAGATGAGACTCTCATAAACACGGGACTCGTCTGAGGTCGGTACCGTACTAGTCTCACATCGGTACCGTCGATGTGCCAACTTCTGTTTAACTAATGTGGAAAGGGCAGATTCTCACGAACACAATGGTGCTCTCCATTTTGCTCTACAACCACAACAAGGCTGGGAGTGTTGGAAAGATTTTTCAAATATTTTTTTTTAATCATTCGCAATGGATGTAAAAAAAAACAGGCTTTGTTGACTTACTGTGTGAGTTGAAGGAAAAATTACTGAGAATCGTATTAGTGGTGGACGTGGTGAGTTAAGACAATCAGAAATCAGACATTGCCAAATGGGCACTTTCCTACATTAACTTGTTTCTCACAAGTGTAGCAGGTTGTGGACTTTGCAAACAACGTTTCCACTCGGAGAATGAAAATGGTAAATGACTGTAATTAATACATGCATTAACAGAAATTAATATAACCAAATGATGGGGGAATTAACGGTACATTTACCAGGCCTACTGGTGACATACAGTGGTTTGCAAAAGTATTCATCCCCCACAGCTATTTTAAAAAACAAGTTAATGATACTCTGTGGCTAAGTCATGCTCTCTGGTGAAGTATTTTGAATGTTTTTATTTAGACCGTAGTAATTATATAAATCAATTTACTTAAGGGCAAGCCATTATCCTAACAGTGCACTGTACACCCTGCCAACTGTCCTTTCCAATTCACAAGAGTCTGAAACGAGAGATCTGTATATCATTTTTTACATTTTAGTCATTTAGCAGACGCTCTTATCCAGAGCGACTTAGAGTTAGTGAGTGCATACGGGGGAATGACAAGATGCTCATGTTTCCGCCCTGACAATGGGAGTCGTTGTCCCAAAGGCGGGAAGGCAGGCGAAAAACTTAGGTCTGCATATTATGCCCAAAGAAACGCATTGGACTTATTCTGGACAGATTTTGGCAAGAGTGAGCCCTCTCGCTTCGCCTCTTCCTTTCTGCTGAAACTCTCTCACAGGAGAAAGCATCTGAGTGAGCGAAACAGAGCCCCTCTGTCTTACTATATGTAGCCCATGTATCTGATCCAGTCTGGTCAGAAAAAGTATGACATGCCATACTCTTCTACACATACTGAGACAGAGGGGCGCTGTTTCGCTCGCTCGGATGCTTTATCTGAGATTGATTCTTCTTTCTGTCTGCGTGGGTCTCGGTCAAATAAATAATTAATATTCAATATGTTATTTGGATGGGCAAGGAGGTACGGTAGGGGCCCGCCCATTACGCCGGCCCTGGAAATAGTATCATGGTCTTGTCTTCTCGTACCCGTCTCCAGTGAGATCCACCACAGCAAGGTCGTAGCCGAACGATGAGGCTAGCCCCTCCCCTTCCAGGATGTACTCTGGTGACAGCATGGAGGATACATCGGACTCCTTCTTTAGCAACACCACCTCTCCACTGTGATGGGCTCTCGGAGCCCCTGCAACCACTGTCAGCTGACCCTTCTTAGTGATGTACTTCCCCGAGTCCAGAGAGAAGCCTGATAGGAGAGAGATGATTCACCAATCAATCAATCCGTCAGTCAATGTATGGCCACATAAATACAGACATGCTTCAGGTGAGATGGTGCTTTACTAAATGTTTGATGCACTGTACAGATATGGATGGAACACTGACTGAGTTTACACAGGCAGCCCAATTCTGATATTTTTTCACTAATTTGTCTTTCACATCAGAACTTTTCACATCAGCTCTTTATCAGAGCTGATCTGATTGGTCAAAAGATGAATTAGTGAAGAAAATATCAGAATTGGGCTGCCTGTGTAAACGCAGCCAGTGACTGACTGTGGCTGTAGATGTAGATGGACAAGCAATAAAAGACAACGTTCAAAATAATGTTGTACTGACCATGCATGACACAACATGAAGGGACCAAACCAAACAGAAACACTAACAAACAGCACCTGGTCTTGGCATCACACCAACACGACTGATGACACCAATATGTTGCATTCTGCTTTCCTACAAGGATCCGCCAAAGCTAGGCGCTGTACAGATTCACTGATCTCTCCATCATATAGATCTATTCAAGCCCAGTTGGTTGGAAGTGGATGTGATTTCTAGCTCTGATCATCTGCACCACGCCTAGCTCAGGCCACTGTGCATGATGAGGACTAGTGTACGGAGTGATATTATTTTCTCTAGAGAGCATGATGTCATCACCCAGATAGTCTTACAATCCTAAGTAGCTATTGGCTGTCACATTGGTCTCCATAGCAACCTGAGGAGGAAGTGACTTGTACACAAACTGTTCATGCTGGTGCTGGACACACTGGTCATGAAGAGCACACATCGAGGAGGGAGGGGAGGGAGGGAGGGAGAGAGGGATGAGGGATGAAAGAATGCAGGGGTACCTACCCAGGTAGCTGTTAGGGGGCACAGGGACCAGGTCTGGGTTTAACTGGTTCTCATCACCCACCTCATAGGGCCCGTCTTTATACGAACGCATCTCCAACAGAGTGTTGTTCTTATGCTCTACTCTCACCATACCTGGAGAGAGGGAGGGAGGGAGGGAGGGAGGGGGAGGGAGGGGAGGGAGGGATTAATGGAGAGGAGGATGAGGGATAGGAAAGTGAGGAAAGGGGGGATGGAGATACGTAATAAATAAATAACATGTAATAAATAAATAACACATAATAAATGACATGTAATAAATAACACGTAATAAATAAATAACACGTAATAAATAAATAATACGTAATAAATAACACGCAATAAATAAATAACACGTAATAAATAAATAACACGTAATAAATAAATAACACGGAATGAATAAATAACACATAATAATTGACATGTAATAAATAACACGTAATAAATAAATAACACGTAATAAATAAATAAATAAATAAATAATACGTAATAAATAACAAGCAATAAATAAATAACACATAATAAATAAATAAATAAATAGTACGTAATAAATAACACGCAATAAATAAATAACACATAATAAATAAATAACACGTAATAAATAACACGTAATAAATACAATATATGAATCATGAGCTGAAAATAAAAGTGAAAAAGTACATGATATGACCCTAATCTAAATTCAACATTTTATCATTGTGGTTTTGCTTCCACTAGAGGTCACTATGGTTTATATACACTGCTCAAAAAAATAAAGGGAACACTAAAATAACACATCCTAGATCTGAATGAATGAAATAATCTTATTAAATACTTTTTTCATTACATAGTTGAATGTGCTGACAACAAAATCACACAAAAATGATCAATGGAAATCAAATGTATCAACCCATGGAGGTCTGGATTTGGAGTCACCCTCAAAATTAAAGTGGAAAACCACACTACAGGCTGATCCAACTTTGATGTAATGTCCTTAAAACAAGTCAAAATGAGGCTCAGTAGTGTGTGTGGCCTCCACGTGCCTGTATGACCTCCCTACAACGCCTGGGCATGCTCCTGATGAGGTGGCGGATGGTCTCCTGAGGGATCTCCTCCCAGACCTGGACTAAAGCATCTGCCAACTCCTGGACAGTCTGTGGTGCAACGTGGCGTTGGTGGATGGAGCGAGACATGATGTCCCAGATGTGCTCAATTGGATTCAGGTCTGGGGAACGGGCGGTCCATAGCATCAATGCCTTCCTCTTGCAGGAACTGCTGACACACTCCAGCCACATGAGGTCTAGCATTGTCTTGCATTAGGAGGAACCCAGGGCCAACTGCACCAGCATATAGTCTCACAAGGGGTCTGAGGATCTCATCTCGGTACCTAATGGCAGTCAGGCTACCTCTGGCGAGCACATGGAGGGCTGTGCGGCCCCCCAAAGAAATGCCACCCCACACCATGACTGACCCACCGCCAAACCGGTCATGCTGGAGGATGTTGCAGGCAGCAGAACGTTCTCCACGGCGTCTCCAGACTCTGTCACGTCTGTCACATGTGCTATGTGTGAACCTGCTTTCATCTGTGAAGAGCACAGGGCGCCAGTGGTGAATTTGCCAATCTTGGTGTTCTCTGGCAAATGCCAAACGTCCTGCACGGTGTTGGGCTGTAAGCACAACCCACACCTGTGGACGTCGGGCCCTCATACCACCCTCATGGAGTCTGTTTCTGACCGTTTGAGCAGACACATGCACATTTGTGGCCTGCTGGAGGTCATTTTGCAGGGCTCTGGCAGTGCTCCTCCTGCTCCTCCTTGCACAAAGGCGGAGGTAGCAGTCCTGCTGCTGGGTTGTTGCCCTCCTACGGCCTCCTCCACGTCTCCTGATGTACTGGCCTGTCTCCTGGTAGCGCCTCCATGCTCTGAACGCTACGCTGACAGACACAGCAAACCTTCTTGCCACAGCTCGCATTGATGTGCCATACTGGATGAGCTGCACTACCTGAGCCACTTGTGTGGGTTGTAGACTCCGTCTCATGCTACCACTAGAGTGAAAGCACCGCCAGCATTCAAAAGTGACCAAAGCATCAGCCAGGAAGCATAGGAACTGAGAAGTGGTCTGTGGTCACCAACTGCAAAACCACTCCTTTGTTGGGGGTGTCTTGCTAATTGTCTATAATTTCCACCTGTTGTCTATTTCATTTGCACAACAGCATGTGAAATTTATTGTCAATCAGTGTTGCTTCCTAAGTGGACAGTTTGATTTCACAGAAGTGTGATTGACTTGGAGTTACATTGTGATGTTTAAGTGTTCCCTTTATTTTTTTGAGCAGTGTATTTGAGCATCAGCTGATTGAAAGTGGAAGGGCCCATGCGGACTATGCTAATCTACCTAACCCTAACCTCTGACTCCTAACCTTACCCTGACCCCTAACCCTACCTCTAGCCCCTGACCATAACCTTACCCTGACCCCTAACCCAACCTCTACTTGAAGGTAACAGCACTCACTGCTCCCTCTAGTGGCCTGTTTCCACGTCATCTCCCAATGTCCTCAGACACGGACGGACGTCTAATACTGACTTGTATCTCGGGTGACATGCCTGTGAATACTGCACTGTTGGGTAGGGCTTGCAAGTTAAGCATTTCACTGTACTTGTGCATGTGACAAATACAACTTGAAACCTATCTGATCTTGTCTAGGGTTTTGAATCCTTTCATACACACTCATACTCCTCTCCCCTACCTTTCCAGTCGTATGCTCCAGGAGCTCCAAACACTAGGTATTCATAGTCCCTAGTGAAGGTGGCAGACAGACCCTGTTGGCATGAGCCAAACCTCTCATGCCCACGTGCCCGCCCCTCACAGAACCTCCAGTTCCCTCCGTCCTCATCAGACTGGGCATTGATTGTCAGGTCCTGGCTCAGCACATAACACCTCCCTGTGATGTCACGAGATTCCTGGGGCGTGCTCACAAACAGACGCATCTGGTAGCGGTGGGCACACGTCTGGAGAGAGAGAGGAGAGGGATTGGTTAACAGAGCTGTCAGTCAAGTCAAGGGCCAATCAGTGGCCATGTTTGAATTCAATTATTTAAAACGCACGCATGCATGTGCACACACACACACACTTACCACAATCTTTCCTCCTGGTCCCTGGCTGTTCACTGTTACACCCATCCACTGGTTCTCCTTACTCTCAGTTTTCAGGTTCTCTACACACACAAAATCATCATGACATCTTCATTAAAGGTTGAATATCTAGTGATTCTACTAACAAACTATTTATTTGTAAGGACCTATGTAGACAGATGAAGACAGAAAATAAGTGTGTGTGCATGTGTTCAGAGGTGAGCTCACCATTGTTGTCAAACTCCACACGTTTACAGCTGGAGGAAGTGGTGTCACAGTTGTAGAGTCCTCCTGTGACCTTTGACTTCTGACCTCCTAGAGCTTTGGCCTTCGGAGCACCAACCAGCAACCTGTAACACACACCACAATGCGATGTTTGAATTAAGGAAACAAAAACACACACACAAACAAACAGAAGTTTGGCCCACATACCACCAACCAGTAAAATTATAACATGGCTGATAGACACAGACACACATATAAAAATAGCATCCCTGTCCTTGTCTGACCTACAGTTTACAAAGAGGTCATCATACAAAGCACTCACACACACAACCCACACCCATTAGTAGAGGAAGCTGTCAGTGAGCCAATAGATCTGTCTACACTGTGACAACCTGTGATAATCTGGACCAGCCTATCAACAGTCCTCTCATTGTGGACCAGCCTATCAACAGCCCTCTCCATCTGGACCAGCCTATCAACAGCCCTCTCCATCTGGACCAGCCTATCAACAGCCCTCTCCATCTGGACCAGCCTATGAACAGCCCTCTACATCTGGACCAGCCTATCAACAGCCCTCTACATCTGGACCAGCCTATCAACAGCCCTCTCCATCTGGACCAGCCTATCAACAGCCCTCTACATCTGGACCAGCCTATCAACAGCCCTCTACATCTGGACCAGCCTATCAACAGCCCTCTACATCTGGACCAGCCTATGAACAGCCCAGATTTTCATAAAAAGGCCACGCATATGGGCTCTTGTTTCTGCATCACCAAATTTTGCTCGAGGCAAAAAGAGTTGGGTGGGTGCGCTTCGGTGCAGCTGACGGTAGTGGTCTGGAGAGCATGGAGCATCACTCTGTCACTTCTCACAATGGTCCTCGTTTAGTAAAGTTCGATCAAAGCTGAATCAATGTCTTGGAAGATCACATAATTATTAATTAGTATAACGTTACTGTTACACCACCTCATTTCTTATGAGATTTTAGGACATTTAGCTGAATAGTCTAAAAGAAAATCTGATGTGGTCAAAACTCAACTCAACAGCTTACGCAACTAGGCAGGGTGTGTGTGTGTGTCCATGGATTGATAGGCCATTCACCATGTCCATGGATTGATAGGCCATTCACCATGTCCATGGATTGATAGGCCATTCACCATGTCCATGGATTGATAGGCCATTCACCATGTCCATGGATTGATAGGCCATTCACCATGTCCATGGATTGATAGGCCATTCACCATGTCCATGGATTGATAGGCCATTCACCATGTCCATGGATTGATAGGCCATTCACCATGTCCATGGGTTGATAGGCCATTCACCATGTCCATGGGTTGATAGGCCATTCACCATGTCCATGGATTGATAGGCCATTCACCATGTCCATGGGTTGATAGGCCATTCACCATGTCCATGGGTTGATAGGCCATTCACCATGTCCATGGGTTGATAGGCCATTCACCATGTCCATGGGTTGATAGGCCATTCACCATGTCCATGGATTTCAGTCTGCATTGACTGCTATGTGCAACAAGCTCTCACAGTCTCACTCAGAATTTTCAAACGTCACATTTTGAAGTTGTTCCAAACGGAACATTTCTAAGTGTTCAAGGTTAAGTTGAATCATAAACACATTTTTAAGGTTAGGGTTAAGTTTAGGCATTAACTCCAAAATCTTAAGGTTAGTCATTAACTCCGAATGGTTAAGGTAAGGGTTAAGATTTGTGAAAGGCTTAAAACAAAAATATATATATTGCTGGATTCAAAAATGCTACCCTTGGCACCATAGGCAGATGCTTAAGCCCAGCCACCATCTCCATTGCCCTAGTAAAACCGGAACCTACTTGAAGGTAACAGCGTTCACTGTTGCCCCTCAGACATGGATGTTGAATACTGACTTGTATCACAGGTGACCTCGCTGACTATGTGGGTATCAATACACTTGAACTTGACCCAGGGGCGTAGACATGGGTGGGCCTTGGACTGTGGATCATTTGCTTTCTCTACAGAGAAAATAACCATACTAGATTGATTTCTATGGTTTAAGTCCTTGATGAGATTAAAAGCCCACCTGTTTTGAAGCACAGCTCATATTCATACCTACGTGCGCATCATCTGGCTGAACAGAGGTACTACTCTACAGAGGTATATTTGGGGTCAAGCCTGTGATAAAACCTAATTAACAGAGAGAGAACGAGAAAGAGAGAGAGAGCGAGAGGGGGGGGGGGGGGGGACAGGAGAGATCGAGAAAAACAGGAGTGGGAGAGGGAGAGAGTGAGAGGGGGAGAGGGAGAGAGGGAGAGAGAGAGAGGGAGAGCCATGTCTACTCTATAGAATAGTTGACCCCAGGCGGTGAAAGCAAAGGGAATGGCCTTGGAATGGCCACATGGTGGGGGCATTGACTGCTCTGAGTCACATTGGAGATTCCCCAGAGTGGAGGGAGCGAGTGAAAGAAGGGAGGGCTTGAAGAGAGGGAGTGAAAATAAATGGAATTGAGCCCAGGTAATCAAACATTCTGCTTTCACACTGATCTCAGAACAATGAGCATCCTTCGTGTTGCCCCCTGCCATACATACATGTATACGCCACAGGAGGTTGGTGGCACCTTAATTGGGGAGGACGGGCTTGTGGTAAAGTCTGGAGCGGAATCAGTGGAATGCTATCAAATACATCAAACACATGGATTCCATGTGTTTGATGCCATTCCATTTGCTCCGTTCCAGACATTATTATGTCCTCCCTTCTGCAGCCTCCACTGGTACGTGCACGTGCAGGAGAATAGATAGAAAGAAGAGGTATCCTCTTACTTATGCCCCTACTGTAGTTTAGGATCAGATTACCCTCCTTAAAACCTAAAACATTAGGGGATGAGAAAAGATCTGATCCTGAACCAGGGGATAGCAGCAACTTGTACCTTCTCCTTAGACTATGGGGGTCCACTAAGAGTAAAGAGACGGTCAACAGGAACCACCAACACCGTACATGATGGTGTTATTGTATAACTATATACAGTACAGAACCAGAATGCAATTACCCAGTTACACAGTAACTGCATATGAAACAATATTTTAATTGTATTTCTTTTGTCATTTAGCTGACGCTCTTATCCAGAGCGACTTACATGAGCAATTAGGGTTAAGTGCCTTGCTCAAGGGCACATCAACAGATTTTTCACCTAGTCGGCTCGGGGATTAGAACCAGCGCTCTTAACCATTAAGCTACCTGCCGCCCTATTGTACATGGTCTCAATTGTTCATTTACGTCTGTGCAATGTAAAGCATACAGGGAGTGTGAGAGGGAGGCAGGGAGTGTGAGAGAGGGAGACAGGGAGGGGAGAGGGAGGAGGGAGGGACAGGAGTGAGGAGAGACAGGGAGTGAGAGAGGACAGGGGTGTGAGGAGGGAGACAGGAGTGTGAGAGGGAGCAGGAGTGAGAAGGGTGACGTTGAGAGAGAGGGAGGCAGGAGTGAGAGAGGAGACGGGAGTGTGGAGAGAGGGAGGCGGAGTGAGAGAGGGAGACGGGGAGTGTGAGGAAGGGAGGCAGGGAGTGTGAGAGGAGACAGGAGTGTGAGGGGGGGCAGAGAGAGAGCACAGGGAAAGAGAGAGGGAGAAGTGACAGAGACGGAGTGTGAGAGGGAGGCAGGGAGTTGAGAGGGGACAGGGAGGTGAGAGAGGCAGGAGTGAGAGAGGGGGAAGTGGAGTGTGAGAGAGAGGGAGCAGGGAGGAGAGTGAGGTGACAGGAGGGAGGTGTGGGAGAACGAGTGAGAGAGGGAGACAGGGAGTGAGAGAGGGAGGAGCGGAGTGGGAGGGAGAGAGTGTGAGAGGGAGCAAGGGGGAAGGAGAGAGGGAGACAGGGAGTGGAGAGGGAGCAGGGTGTGAGAGGGAGGCAGGGAGTGTGAGAGGGAGACAGGGAGTGTGAGAGGGAGACAGGGAGGTGAGAGAGGGAGGGCAGGGAGTGGAGAGGGAGACAGGGAGTGTGAGAGGGAGAACAGGGAGTGTGAGAGGGGGAAGGGAGTGGAGAGGGAGACAGGGAGTGTGAGAGAGAGAGAGGGAGGCAGGGAGTGGAGAGGGAGCAGGAGTGTGAGGAGGGGGAGGGGTGAGAGGGAGGCAGGGAGTGTGAGAGGGAGGACAGGGAGTGAGAGAGGAGGGAGAGAACAGGGAGTGAGAGAGGGAGGCAGGGAGTGTGAGAGGGAGACAGGGAGTGTGAGAGGGAGACAAGGGAGTGGAGAGGGAGACAGGGAGGTGAGGAGGAGGAGGAGAACAGGGAGTTGAGAGAGGAGGCAGGGAGTGTGAGAGGGAGACAGGGAGTGGAGAGGGGGGGAGGGGGAGACAGGGAGTGTGAGAGGGAGGCAGGGAGTGTGAGAGGGAGACAGGAGTGTGAGAGGGAGACAGGGAGTGGTGAGAGGGAGACAGGGATGTGAGAGAGGGAGGCAGGGGAGTGGGAGCAGGGAGGAAGGGAGTGAGTGGAGAGGGAGACAGGGAGTGTGAGAGGGGAGACAGGGAGTGTGAGAGGGAGCAGGGAGTGTGAGAGGGAGGCAGGGAGTGTGAGAGGGGGGACAGGAGTGGAGTGGGAAGAGGGAGACAGGGAGTGGAGAGAGGGAGGCAGGGAGTGTGAGAGGGAGACAGGGAGTGAGAAGAGGGAGAAGGAGCAGGGAGAGGGAGGGACAGGGAGTGTGAGAGGGAGACAGGGAGTGAGAGAGGGAGGCAGGGGAGACGTGTGGGGAGAGGGAGGGCAGGGACGGGAGTGTGAGGGAGAAGGGAGTGAGAGAGCAGGATGGGCAGTGAGTGTGAGAGGGAGACAGGGAGTGGAGAGGGAGGCAGGGAGTGGAGAGGGAGGAGGAGTGTGAGAGAGGGAGGCAGGGGAAGGTGAGAGGGAGGAGGGAGGTGTGAGAGGGAGACAGGGAGTGGAGAGGGAGACAGGGAGTGTGAGAGGGAGGCAAGGGAGTGTGATGAGGGAGGAGGGAGTGTGAGAGAGGGGAAGGCAGGGAAGTGGAGAGGAGAGGGAGGCAGGGAGTGTGAGAGGGAGAGACAGGGAGTAGTGGAAGGGAGGGAGAGGGAGGCGGGAGTGTGAGAGGGAGGACAGGGAGTGTGAGAGGGAGACAGGGAGTGTGAGAGGGAGGGAGCAG